CAAAAACTGTTTACCCGTTTGTCCTGCTGAAATAAAATGACCCCATTTTTTTGTAGTTCATTTAATGTAATATATATACAAAATTGTTTTTGTTTTCTTCGTTACCTAATTAAACTTTGAATAATTTTCCTATACCCAGCCGCATATTATTGAAAAAAAGTTCGGTTATTCCTTAGTGCGACTCTGTACAAGCAGCCTTGTCTGAGAGATCACATGCACTATGCATAATTTTTTGGAGCACTCCGTTGCTTGGATGGACAGAGTTTAGGTCATAACAATAATACATCAGTTTTATTTTAAGCTGGGGCATTTGCAACAATTTTAATGGTATTAATGCAAATAATGTATAACTGCAAATGAAACTGAAAAAAAGAAAATACCGTTAATATGCTTTGAAAAACACCACCTTTTGTGAAGTGAATGTTCATTGATGTTTTCTGTGTTTTAACCTTCCATCGACACACTGAAATATAAATTATTATATAGAACAACAGAAAATCTGATTATGTGTAATAAAGGGCAAACTGAAAAGTTCACTTCGAAAAGTTATTGTGTAATAAAAATCTATGAACTTTTCCTGGTGAACTTGTTAAAAAAAAAGAAAACATCAAGAAAACCATTAAAGTTAGCAAAGAAAAACTTATTGAGAAGAAATAAAATCAACAATTAATGTGATACACAAAACCTACATAGTGCCAAAATGACAATAATGTCACAGTATACTTATATACAGTAATTTCACTTCGGATGATTTTTGGTTTGAATTTTCTACACGCAGACCCAGGAGTTGCAGTCTCAAGTCTGCGCAAACGACGAGTTCAAGACAGGCACGCAATCCTTCCATAGTTGTCGAATTTCATGGGTTTTACCCAACCTACTGAAACTATTTTCAGTGAACATTTTCCAAATTTATCGATAGAAACTGGTGTTGGAACATAGTTCATCATTGTCCAAATGATCTGGGTTACTTGAATATTACATAAATGCAAAATTATCATTTGTACAATTTTCTCAGGTGCCCAACATGGTTTTCATAGACTGTTTTTTTTTGAGCAGTTTATATGAATAGTTGTTATGTTGAGCAGTGTATACACGCTTTGGTTGAGATTGTAGTAGGGAGAAATGTCATTAGTGTCAAATACGTCATCATTATAAAAAATGAAACTCCTGGACACCGACATCAAAGGGACCGACGCTGAGTGAAACTACTGTATACAGAAATACTGTGNTATTCAATGATAATCTTGAAGAAAGACAGGTATATTTTCAATCACCATCATCAGGATCTGATCACAGTTTGCCTAAATTTAACCTTGTATCCTTATGAAAATTTTACTGTCATGGAATAACATTATTGGTTAAAACCATTCAGACTTTCATTTTTTTTTTAATAATTAAGTTTTTACACAAAATATACAAGGTGTAACATAGGTACGTTCAAATATTAATATTACTGCAAATGAGTTATTTGCATGAAATTTGGTACCCGAGGTTTTTTTTGACATGGGAAATCATAATTTCGTATTAATTTTCATGTAACATCTAGTAACATCTGATATTTGAAATTATTTTTTGTTTCTGTTGATCACTTTGAATGGGCTTTTTCTACAGCATCAACTCTAATGAACACATGGGATCAAGTCTATAACTCTTTTTGCATGAGTAACTTCTGTTTACAGCAACTGATTCTAGGCGTTGCTATCATTTTCATCATGTTTTCTCTAAGATTGTGAAGAAACTGTAAATAACTAGACGAAGGAATAGTACTTTCTATTATAAGTTCTTCAGGGATACTCAATGTTGTTTCATAAACCAGTTCAGCACTTGAACTTTGTAATTGTTCCTTTACTCTAACCCTGATCCCCTGTAAAATAGTAGGAAGAAGGTCAATCAGTTTTCTGATTCATGGCATTTCAGTGCTTCTTTTATTGTGCAATTAAATCTCTCAATCATTCCATTAGTAGTAGTAGTACATAGTTATTCTTGAAGATACCCCAAATTGAGGAATCCATCCTGTATAAAATGGTTTTGTAACCGTTTCTGCAGTTATATTGCTTGAATTAAAAGCTTTAGGCCATTTTGGATGATTTATACAAAATAAACAGTAGATATATTCATATAGATATATTGATAGAGAAATAGATATATTGATGGAGAAAGTTGTTCAACAAAGTCGAAACTAACATGCTCGAAAAGTCTTTTAGGTACAAAAAAGGATAATAAGAACGATTTGTCATGCTCATCCAACCACAACATGTAAACCTTTATTCAAGAATCTCCAAATACTAACCCTTCCATGTTTATATATTCTTGAACTGATTATGTACATAAAACGNGCGACTGGTTTTGGTCCTATATTAACTTGTTGGGTACCGGATTCCTGTGAATTGAAGTGCTCCCTAATCCATCCTTCACACAAAGAAACAATAAAACAGATCCAGTTCGGAAATGGTAACCAGTGCCACCTTTTAGTTTCTGCAAGTGAAAATCAACTTAGCGTTTGGAATATACTAACACTCTCGATGGTTTGGACAGTGCCTATTAAGACATCTCTATTGATTGCTGACCGTTTATCGGAAAATATGGGTGTTATATGCATAGACAAAAGCGGTATGTTTGGTTTTTATTCTATAACCCATTTTCCTGAGTCTGTTATAGTAGTTATCAGAAAAATGTATATGAGTTAAAAACCTGTTTCGTCATGTTACTTGTTATGGTGGAATTCCAAGTCATTACCAAGCATTATCTTCAATCTGAAAAATAAAGCTAAATCAATATAGAATCTGCTGAGGTTAAATATTGAAAAAAATCTATAGAAAAAATTAAATTTCTGTACTTAACTTTCTTTAGTGATCAACGTTTCAGAAAACGCCCTGAAAGTTTTCAAAACTCAAAATTCACTTTGAATCTTTTGCCTCGAATTGTAAATAGCTTTAATTCTTTTGACATACGTTGAAAGAATGAAATTTCCGGATGTCATATGCGATACTCTATATGAATATATATACTGGATGTTTTTTGAGAATTCAGTTGAGGTTCATATTTCCGTTTCCAACCTCTCTTCTTAGTAATGGCAACCAGGTATGATCCATTTCCGCAAAGCTGTGTGAGATACACTTGTTACCTGCAGAAATAATATATGCGGATTCTTTGAAATTTCTAATGTTTTCATGAGTTTCTTTGGTGATAATTTTTATTTCACTCCATTTTTCAGATTGTGGAAGGTTATATACTTGAAAAAACAGTAAGATGTATTGAGTTGCCACAAAAAATGTCTTTCAAAGAATACTGACACTACTTTTCAATATTATTAACGGCAAATTCAGTTGTGCTGAACTCCTAAAAAAAACGCTCAACTCGACAGCAACAAACATTTTATGTACCATTTTATCGTTTGAACCACACATTCAATAGCTGCATTCCAAGAATCTTATGATTAGCCGATAGTAATGTTGATCTTGAGATGTTTAACATATCTGTGCTTTAATGTGTAGTTTAAGGTAGTATATGTAGTATATGTTTTATTGTCGCTCATTGTTTTAAGCTATTCTTAGTTGCAATTTGTAATTCTGTACCTTATCTTACTTTAAATGGGCTTGCTCGTAAATGAATAAATAAATAATCATTGAAAAGAACTGGCAGATACTTGATGAAAATCCATATAAAAAAAAAAGTTATTGTATGATTTTCACTATAAGGGTTTTACCAAAACCGCGACACGTGTTTCGCTATACAATAGCTTCTTCAAGCATAAATAATCTTCAAATACTGACTTCACAAAAATTATAAAAAATTCTGGAGAGACCCGAATCACTTTTGAAAATAAGCTATTTTTCTTCAAACGATAGTAATTTTTATNATCTAATTTTGGATGAAGGGATTCATGACATGTTTTGGATTTACTAAACATTATCATGTCAGTTCTATTCATATAAAGTTCCAAAGAGTGATTTGTCTCTCTTCTATAGATACTTTCACAGGAAGTGTTCATGTGACTTGGCACATTTTATTCCTCCAAGAGCGGTACATATCAGAAATATGTGACGGACTGTGGCTGCTCATCGTTTTGAGGTTCAACTCGGTACACCTCGAACTTCACTGTTTAAGAACTCTTTCATTTGGAGAACATATAACACAAGAACCGGCAAACTTTCTTTTGAATACAAAGGATTTATTGATGATATAGTAGGATTTAATTGTCATTTTTATGAATCCCATCATTGCCTAACAGCTTGTTGTAGAAATGGTACAGTATTGTCATGGAAAACTATGACACACTTTAAAATATCTGAAAAGGTAAGTTTATGCAAGCAATTTTTGATCTGATATAACAAGGGGGTAAAAAATTGACTACAAATAGAATTTTTGCCTAATAGTAATGAAGACTTACTTTTATTGACAAAGCAAGATTTGTGTAAAGAGAGTCAAATGTATGGTAATACAAAGTAGATAAAAAAGAAATTGTAAATATAAAACAGTTATTTACATAGTCTTAACACTAAAATTTACTATATTATTTTTCAAACAATTTCTCAAAAGTTCAATTGATTCATGAATAAAAGAAAAACTGGAACCTCTGCACAATCATGTCGCAGGAATTGCAAAGGCTGTTTCTCAAAAGCTTAGAGCACTGTCCCAAACCAGAAAACTGTACACACCTCAGCAACTTTTGATGCTTTATAAAGCTCAGATCAGACCTTTTATGAGGTATTGTTCTCATGTATGGAGCTCCGCCCCAAACATACCCTGAAGTTGTTGGATTCCATCCAGAAAAGAGCCATCTGCCTGATTGGAGACACGAACATCACGTGCAACCTTGATAGTCTGGAACATCGAAGAAAGTTTGGAGATTTGTCTCTTTTCTATAGATACTTTCAAGGGAAGTGTTCAAGTGACTTGGCACATTTGGTTCCACCAAGAGCGGTACATATCAGAAATATGCGACGGACTGTAGCTGCTCATCGTTTTGAGGTTCAACTTAGTACACCTCAAACTTCACAGTTTAAGAACTATTTCGTCTGGAGAACTGCGTTTATGTGGAATAAATTTCCTGAAAACGTTTTTTCAAATGGATTTAATCTCCAGGGATTCAAATCCAATGTGAATCGCTACTTTTGCACAGACACCGCTCTGAGAGCACCTAAAGGATTTTCCTGTAGTGTTTATGTTTTGTCCTTGAAAAAAATAGAGATTTTCAAAACTATTTATTGATACTTCGTCAATTCCAGATTTTGTTTCATTTTTTAATAGTCATTATCATCTGCAACTCAGCAATATTTGAGTGGAACAAAATTAGTTCACCTTGATATGAAATATTTTTTAATTAATCATGGAGTCATATGTAACAAAAATGCATTAGTTAGGGATTCAGCTATTAAACGGTAATAATGGTTCAGATTATCCACTGATTTTGAAATTACTATTTATTTATTTTGTTAACCACTCTTTTTTTATTTATCAGTTGCTTGGATAATTCCAACTGAATAAAATGATGACATCAGGTGAGGAAGATCGGTACATGCATAAAATATAAGTATATACTTAACTTTGTATGTACCATATCTTTACTCACATAAGCATAATCTTATGAACTACTACTAACAATTTTGAAATAAATATTCACAGTATATTGTGTTTTTTGCTAAAACTGAAAGTTAAAATTAAGTTGTTGACTATTGAAAATGAAGTAATACCATTTTTGTCCATTTATTTTCAGAAACTTCCAATCAGTCAAGTGAAAACCTTCAACATTATCTCCACCGTTGATGAGGATTATAAGGCAATAATATCTTACAAAAAAAATCAGTTCATTCGATTCGCCTCAGTCAACATAAAAGAGAAATCATTCAGGGATTACAAGTTTGCCATAAAACCAAAAATAAAATATTTTATAGGATTGAGTAGTAAATATTTTTCTGTAGCACAAGAAAGCGATCTGTATTTCATCAAACTGTCTGGTGGCAGAGAATTGTCAAGGTATTTGCATCCAACGACATTTGATTGCTGTGAATGATATTGAATTATTTTTCAGGTATTCTATGCAAGCTACTCGAACATTCACCTGTCTAGCCTGTCATCAATTTGAAGAAGTAGTTCTTACTGGTGACAGTACCGGCCGGGTGTTGGTATGGCAAAATATTTTTACGAGAGAAAAAACCCAGTCAGTATTTCACTGGCATACATTACCTGTCCAAACTGTGAGTTTTTCAGCTTCTGGAAGTTACTTCTATAGCGGAGGAAGTGAATGTGTTCTAGTAAAGTGGCAACTTGAAAACGTGAATGACAGAAAGTTTCTTCCTCGCCTACCTGCGGAAGTACAACATGTTGCAGTTGCTAATGATAATTTATACGTAGCTGTGGCAACCAATGATAATGCCATCAGGATACTGGATCCGACAATGAAGCAAATCACCCTAATTCAACATTTGGTGTTAGGAAAACATTATGAAGCTGGAATTGTTTATGATCCCCGGACGCAAGCTCTCATAATGAACGGAAATCAAGGACAAATCCAGTTTTATTCTCCAGATGATATGTCGCTCATGTTCAATGTAAGAAAAACCTCACAATTTCATTTTATAATTTGTCATTGAAGGTAACTTTGGGGTAAAAGACAATTCATCATCGATCCCTGAATCATCTTTAATGTTAGAGCAGTAACCATCTAAACCTCATTTCTTAACAGGTTGAATTTTGAGTTTTTTCACCTCAGATCTTGATTTTTTTTTGTAAGGTAAAAAAAATATCTTACTTATATAAATCTTGCAATTTCTATTTCAATATTTTTATAGGATATGGTTTGGGATAAATAAATCCATTTTGTATGTCGCGGTTTTTATAAAACCCTTATAGTGAAAATCATAGAATAAACTCTATTGATTATTTTTTTTTGTATGTCACAACTGAAAAGTTCACAGCAAAAGGTAAATATTCATCTAATTGAATCACTAATGTTTTAGAAATATTCCAAAAATATTTAACAATACTTCACTGTCAGATTTTCAATGAACAGTTCACAAAACCACAGTGTGTATTTTCACTACTTATTTAATACTAATAGGTTCATTTTCGAACACCTGTTTAGGGAAACATGCTTTATGGGTATTGAAAGTGTTCATTGAAACATTTTTTTGTAAGACGATAGCTTCTTTATGCATGTTAAGTACTATCAGATTTAGTATTAATCACACCAAAGAAGGTGTTGTATACACACGCATTGTAGTTTTGTAAAATAACCAGTGAAGTGTTATCAAAAACATTCTTTATAGTTTTTTAAGTAAATTTCATCACATAAAATATTCCAAAGTTGATATTGAAACTTGTAAGTATTCTCTATATTGAACCTGTGAAATAAAAAATGGGTATAATATTATACTATCCACTTATAATTTTCATTGTTGTTCATCAAATAAATGTTTTTACTATAAATGAATACTTATAATAATAATAATAGAATGTATTCATCAATCAAATGGTTATACAAGGCATCTTATTATCCTTTTTTGAGATACAAATGCCCTTTCAAAGTGACAAGATGACCCCCAGAAGATCACGCCATATTGTAGAGTAGACTGTACCACCCCAAAATATAATAGTCTCAAGATGTCTGCTGATACAGTATCTCGCAGATTTTTTATTATACAGCATGTAGTGCTTAGTTTCGAACATACAGTATTTATGTGTGCTTCCCATGTTAGCTTACTATCCAAAGTAACACCTAAGAACTTGATGGTTTTCATGGATTATATAGATTTACCAGATAAGATTAAGTATAGGTCATAATTTGGATTCATGTTTTTTGGCAAGAACAGGGCATAATTGTTTTTTTTTTCTATTCAGGCTGAGGCCATTCTCAAGGCTATACCTTTCTATTTCATTAGATGCCTTGTTACTTAATTTTGTTAATTGATCAATGTTATTGTGTGACATCAGAATATTAGTGTCATCGGCATATAATATCATTTGTGGCCTTGAATTGCTTATCTAATTATTGAATATTTGGAATAACTGTCTAGTTAGAGTGATTCGGTTCATCAATACCTAGAATATTTTATTAGGCACCTAAGTCTGACATATTTTATAAAAAGATATCTGGAATATATAGATTTGAGAAGTATATATTATCTGGATCTTAGATTAGCCTATCAGAATAATTGAAAACAATTTGCAGATTGACATAGTGGACCAAAATAAGATTACGAATGAAAGAGAGTGTGTGATGGTGAACACCGAAATAACCAAATTTGCAATAAGTAAAACTGGATTATGGTTAGCCAACATTGAGGAAAGAAGAGATATGGAATATCATAAAGAAATTAGATTGAAATTTTGGAAGTTTGATGAATCAAAGCAAATGTAAGTTGATTACTTTTTAATTAACCGTTCCGAAACATTCTCTCTTGCTTGGCAGCAATGGATAATAGTTCTAGGAGTTGAAATATGGCTTCTCTTGCACTTTAATTAGACGTTAATTGTTTGTAAGGTGAATGTGAAAACTTTGGTGCAACTGTGAATTCCAGAAAAAAATAAATAAAAAACAGTATAGTTGAGTGACAGTTTCTGTTATCCAAATTTTAACTACTCCTGAGATAGCAAACTTTTAGATTATGAGTATACCTTTTGTGAACTTCTTGTTTGGCAATTATTTCATTTCAGTATACCAGTTCTTATCATTAATTTCATATCCTTGAATTGTCTTTAGTAAGGAAAAAATAATATTTTTTCTGGCATCCACAGGCAAGACTTTATAATGTCAAAAACTGAAAATAATTCNACTATCCCGAAACAAAGTCTAAAGAATATCAAATACAGGATACAAAATAGCTTACCGATATGTGTAACTTTCTTGCTGGATAACTTTAACCAGATCTTTCAGGGCAGATCTCCTCCCACGGTTGATTATTACAGCAGTTGCCAAGTATCTCAAGATGTGAGGGCACATTGTCTGAATGGCATTGAGATAATGTGGCCTATAAAGGAACATTTCTATAATAAGTTCCCTCCCCATGGCGTGGTTGAAGAATACAAAGAGGGACCAATGTATTAACCAAGTTCTCTGTTGCAAGAGCTGTAAGCTGTTTCCTCCAAACTGGTTGGGGCTGGAATCTATGTATTCTCGTAGCTTATTGAGATCTTCCAGAGCAGAATCCCAATTCTGATAAAGAATTTCAGACGCAAATTTGCCCCATAAAGCACTCAGGTAGTTTTTGTCATTTTGAGGCAGAACAAGCATACAGAAATACAAATATGATGTTGATACTGAATAGTTACCACATTCATAACGATACTTAGCTAATTTGTGAAGACTATCGATCATGTCAATTTCGAACTGGAAAGAAAGCAATTATTTTATGTCACATTATTCTAGGTAATGAACAATTTATACCTTGTAATCCTTGGACAGGAAGTTGATGAGAGTTTTAGAATCTCTCATATTTTCCATATTTTTCATAACTTCTTCATCAGCCATTATTTGAATGATAGGTTCGACTTCTTGTTGAAGCTCCTGTAATTGAGCAACAACGTGAATACGTCTCTGTTTCAAGTCTTCTGGAACTTCCTCATCTGGAAACAACTGCTTCCTTATGTCGATAGCATAATCAATCATATTTGTTTTACTCAAAATGTCTAGTTTGGCCTTCAATAGTTCGGTTTCATTGTAGATCTAAACAGAAATATGATAAATATGTTGTATTTCCGAGATAACCTCAACAAACTTACCCCTTTAGCTGATAAAAACTCCAATAAAGGAAAGACTAAGTGCCTATCCAAATATTGGCCCATTTTCGGAGTTAAATCAAACTTTGCCATATTATCGGTTTTGCTACAATTACTAAGTTTTCTATTCTCGTGTATATTAACCTCCTTTACGCCATGAATGTTGGAGTTCGAGGGTTTAACAGTTGACAGTGTTCTCTCTCTCTAGTTTCTAGTTTCTATGGTCATTGCTTCGTACTCGGCGTATTTGGCCAGTTCTCCTCCTGTTATACCGTAGCTCCGTTGGTTACAAATCGTCTTGCATCGCAGTATCTGTAACGTATATTTGATTCTTCTTCTTTATTTGTCTGATTTATTTTTTTTAATTGCTGTTATTTTTTTACTTTCTATTTTTGTATGTGCACACCGGAATTGAGGTTAATAAATTAGGATTGTTTGAGGTTTTATGGATTTTTTGGGATTTCTGGGATTTTATGAAACGTTCAACCTTCCACATTTCTCTACATCTTCATTTTATTGTATTTATAAGTCATATACCTAATTAGCTTTTTGATATTTCCATAATTTGAATTTCTTAACACTAATCATGTTTAGAGGAAATGAAATTCCGGCTTCAATCAATAGATCTTGTCCAGAAATAGTGTTGATAAGGCACCCAAAAAAAAATATGATCAATTGTTTCACAATTTGGTCTATTATTTCTTCCAATTTTGAATAAATGATATTTACAGCTACAGTGTTCTGCTCTCATCTTAATAAGACTAGTACTATGCCTTCTATCCGTTTTTGGTATTTTTATATACCATGGTTTCCAAGGATAGTCCGGTTGAACCCCAAATAACATATTCCCGTTATTTTGTATATTGTGTTTACATTGTGTGCAAACTTTTGTATAGATTATTTGTTTAAAATTTGGTATGCTTTTTTTTTCATCTATCTTAATATCCAGTACATGAATTGTGTTTCCATTTATAATGGTTCTTCTATTCATTCTCACATCTTGACTGTGACAACCTTAAAGGGACTATCTATTATCATTTTTTCAATTCTTTTTCTGTGAATAATATCGGTATATTAATCCATCCTTCACACAAAGAAACAATAAAACAGATCCAGTTCGGAAATGGTAACCAGTGCCACCTTTTAGTTTCTGCAAGTGAAAATCAACTTAGCGTTTGGAATATACTAACACTCTCGATGGTTTGGACAGTGCCTATTAAGACATCTCTATTGATTGCTGACCGTTTATCGGAAAATATGGGTATTATATGCATGGACAAAAGCGGTATGTTTGGTTTTTATTCTATAACCCATTTTCCTGAGTCTGTTATAGTAGTTATCAGAAAAATGTATATGAGTTAAAAACCTGTTTCGTCATGTTACTTGTTATGGTGGAATTCCAAGTCATTACCAAACATTATCTTCAATCTGAAAAATAAAGCTAAATCAATATAGAATCTGCTGAGGTTAAATATTGAAAAAAATCTATAGAAAAAATTAAATTTCTGTACTTAACTTTCTTTAGTGATCAACGTTTCAGAAAACGCCCTGAAAGTTTTCAAAACTCAAAATTCACTTTGAATCTTTTGCCTCGAATTGTAAATAGCTTTAATTCTTTTGACAAACGTTGAAAGAATGAAATTTCCGGATGTCATATGCGATACTCTATATGAATATATATACTGGATGTTTTTTGAGATTTCAGTTGAGGTTCATATTTCCGTTTCCAACCTCTCTTCTTAGTAATAGCAACCAGGTATGATCCATTTCCGCAAAGCTATTTGAAATACACTTGTTATCTGCAGAAATAATATATGCGGATTCTTTGAAATTTCTAATGTTTTCATGAGTTTCTTTGGTGATAATTTTTATTTCATTCCATTTTTCAGATTGTGGAAGGTTATATACTTGAAAAAACAGTAAGATGTATTGAGTTGCCACAAAAAATGTCTTTCAAAGAATACTGACACTACTTTTCAATATTATTAACGGCAAATTCAGTTGTGCTGAACTCCTAAAAAAAAAAACGCTCAACTCGACAGCAACAAACATTTTATGTACCATTTTATCGTTTGAACCACANAACAGATCAGAATTATAAAATAAATGATATTATCACCTTTTTGAATGAAAAACTTGTCCTCTGATTTTTTATATACTGTGTTTGTGTGTGACCAATTTAAAATCAAAGCATCCTTAAGAGCAGATAGTTGTTGGTTCACAGATGGATCAAAAACACCTTCCGGTTCTGGTGCAGGTGTTTTAGTCGCAGACCCCGGACAGAATATCTACCTGCCTAGGCAAGCGGAAATGTACGCTATTGAATTGTGTGCGGAGAGATTAGATAAATTCAACCTCATACACAAGTCAATAAAAATATTCTCGGACAGTCAAGCGGCGTTGGAAGCTCTTAACTCCTACCGAGCAACGTCTAAATTGGTAGCAAATTGTCAAAAACGAGACTCTTCTCGATAGGAAGACTTAACAGAATGTCTCTGGTCTGGATCCCTGGCCATACTGACCTGGAAGGCAATGAAGCTGCTGACTCCCTTGCAAAGCAGCTTCATCGGACCAGAACCTTTCATTGCCATCGCTTCAGGCTTTGCCAAATGAACATTGAACACCTGGATGGCAAGAAGATTCATGGACTTCTGGCAGAATCTTCCAGAATTGGCTCCAGGCGTTTATTTAAAGCTTGATACCAAACTGTTATTGGACTACAGTAGGGATGAACTACGATGTCTAGCAGGCCTTCTTACAGGCCACTGTCATTTGAATCATCATATGCAGAGACTCGGACTTTCAGAAGACAGTGTGTGTCGCCTCTGTTTGGAAAATGATGAAACTGCAGAGCACATACTTTGTACCTGCCCCGCTGGGTACCGAGTCAGGTTTTTAGAGTTTGGCAGAGCCGTACTCTAACCATCTGATCTGAAAGACCACTCACCATACAAACTAATCAGCGTCGTTAAGAAGCTGGGTTTATTTGGTCGAGTGTGAATAGGTGTGAGCCACAATAAACCCTTGCGGGTTGCGGTGCAGGATCGAATAGACCCACTCACTTTAGACCTAACTTAATCCTTCTATAGAAGCAACTAGAAAAATTCGATTAATTAGTCTTTCTTTTCATGGACGACTTTTATCATTTCTCAATGTCAATGATCAACAAAATATATTAGCAATTTTCTTTGAAATATTTTTAGTACATTGTGATATTCGTGGCAAATATGCCATTTAATTATCCCACCAATTCAATTTTATAACTGTCAAGGTCTCGCAGATATTTCTGGTTCATCCAGCAGCAGGACCATGCTGAAATTAAGTAGTTGTTTTCTGGCCGGCATTTACCAGAAACTACTGTGTAGGTAGTAAGGAGAAATGATCTCTGTTAGAGTATTAGTAAATAGGACGTTTCTTTCCCGCTCGGGGCTTTGTTCACGAGATGGAGCTGTCACTAGTTACCAATCTTTTTCTTAGACAAAGGTTTCATATATGCAGCGGATCCGCATTGAAATTAATCATGCCTCAAGCACTTTGTTGTCTGGGTCGGATCTTTCCTGCACTGATGAGAGGTAATACCTCAAAACCGGTCGGTAGGTGATCTACTCGAAAATTTCAGCATGGTCTTGCTGCTGGATGAACAAGAAACATCTGTGAGGTATTTTACATAAATTTCTGTCTGATGTCATTCAATATCCAGCGTGATATTAGCTGGGGAAAGTAGTTGTTTTCCGACATGCATTTACCAGAACCAACTGTGCAGGTAGTTGAGATAGATGAATATTTTAAAATTTTATTTCGAAATAATGTGAATAAACTCTGAATTTCGGAAAAAGGGAAACTTAAACGTACCAAATGTTTTTGTCTGTGTTTTTTCTACCAGGCCAACGATAACTACAAGTGAAAAATATCCAGTCTAAGTATAATTAAGATACTGATACTTTATTGTCTAAGAATAACTTCTTATTGACAAAGTGTCATAAGTAATCATTAAAGTAATGAAGGTACAAAATACAAGTAAGCATAAAAGTGGAAGTATCAATTCAATTTTATAACTGTCAAGGTCTCGCAGATATTTCTGGTTCATCCAGCAGCAGGGCCATGCTGAAATTAGTAGTTGTTTTCTGGCCGGCATTTACCAGAAACTACTGTGTAGGTAGTAAGTAGAAATGATCTTTGTTAGAGTATTAGTAAATAGGATGTTTCTTTCCCGCTCAAGGCTTTGTTCACGAGATGGAGCTGTCACTAGTTACCAATCTTTTTCTTAGGCGAAGGTTTCATATATGCAGCGGATCCGCATTGAAATTAATCATGTCTCATGCACTTTGCTGTCTGGGTCGGATCTTTCCTGCAGTGATGAGAGGTAATACCTCAAAACCGGTCGGTAGGTGATCTACTCGAAAATTTCAGAATGGTCCTGCTGCTGGATGAACAAGAAACATCTGTGAGGTATTTTGCATAAATTTCTGTCTGATGTCATTCAATATCCAGCGTGATATTAGCTGGGGAAAGTAGTTGTTTTCCGGCATGCATTTACCAGAACCAACTGTGCAGGTAGTTCAGATAGATGAATATTTTAAAATCTTATTTCGAAATAATGTGAATGAACTCTGAATTTCGGAAAAAGGAAAACTTAAACGTACCAAATGTTTTTGTCTGTGTTTTTTCTACCAGGCCAACGATAACTACAAGTGAAAAATATCCAGTCTAAGTATAATTAAGTGGATATCAAATACATTCGAAATGAGATTATTCTGCAACATTACACGGTTGATAGACTGTGAGTAGTCATGATGCTTCCTAGGTGGCTCAGGGAGTTATTAACATTCCCTTCCCATAATACGAGACTAATGAAGTAGTTGATGCTGTTAAAACCAAAAAATATTTTAAAAATCAAGGAATTTTGATCTAAAAATAAAAACACGCAAAATATTAAGAGTCTTATTTTAGAAATCAGTTGAGTGTATTATTTTCAATAAACTGAAGTATTTCTCACATGTAGTAATCAGTGTTGTAGAATATCAACCCCTTCTCTTTTTTATGTTTTTCCCATTTTCATATAATGTAAAGGTAACTAAATGTGTAATGTTTGTTTCAGGAGTTATATTGTGTGTCTAGTGTGACTAATTATATTATGATAGACAATGTAGTGCCAGACGATACATCAATGTTTAGTATGGCAATACCAACAAACAAACTAAGTTTAGTTCAACCTGTCACCCCTAATAAACATGTCTTTGAAAAAGATGTTGGGCACAAAACCATTAAGAAGGTAATGTATCAATGAATTTTTTGAAGTTTGTCAGCTAATCATAACTTTTTTTTCAGTACCTTGAAGGCCCCATACACACCATCGCTCCAATTAGATTCTCTTGTTACTCACTATTGAAATCTTTAGCAGTACAAAAATAAAATGTTAAAATCAGTTTCACGACTAGTTATTGAGTTTTTCATTCATTATTCACAAGAAAAAACAATTTTGTTAATTCTCATACTGATGAAGGACAGTTGAGTCCAGCAATGCATTTGAAGTTCAGTGTAGAAACACTGATGATACCTATGGCAGGTCGAAACAATGCAGTCTGGTTTTGTCCATGAATGCTTTCTATTTGGCCTCTGCAACAACAGTGATACAAAAAATTAATTGTGCGACAAACAACCATCTTCCATTTTCAGGTAAACCACATGGGTTGTTTTTTTAATTTCCCTATATTAATTATAGACAAACTTTATCCTTGCACAGACACTTTTGTAATTTGTGCTGTTGATAATGATCTAAAGGTTCTAAACCTATTGAAACTAGTGCTTGCTCTCAACTTTTGTAAAAAATTAACGCAGACATTATATGGAAATAACATTTTGTGGAAAAAAAAGATGTTCTTGATTCTTTTGAGCATATTCACCTCCCACATTCTAAAAAGATTCATTGAAAATCAACAAGCATTCATTTATTAGAGATAAGGTGGTTCCCAGGAAAAATTATGTTGTGTATTTTTTCATCTGCAAGTAAAGCCATGATTTCGTATATGAACATGTTTTGGAAGTCCTAAAACTCAAGAATGATTGAGAGTATGGCAACAAATGATGTATAAGTAAAATATAAGTAAAACAAGTACCAAATTACATAAGTGTTGAGAACACATTACTCTTTTTAGGTAGTAGAACAAATAAGTTTGTCGCTGAAAACAAAGTAGTCTCAATTACATAAAGAAACCAAAATATTTAAATACGACTCAACTTCTTAGTAACTTGAAGCTGAATATGTGACTTGTTAAGTAATTCGTTTGTTGATAAGCCCAGATTTGATTTTCAAAAAATGTTAACAAAACATGTTGATTACATTAAACTCAAATATTTATGTTATAAATTCTAAGTTCAAACATTTTAAAAATACTATTGCCATTGATATTTTACTTATCAACAAAACACTCTTTCTAGTTTAGTTATTATACATTGAATACTTTTTCTGTTTGTATGATTTTCTTATCAATTATGGTAAGATATAATTAGGCATGAATTCAAAAATTAAGGGAAGTAAAGGTTATGGCTTTCTACTTCTCCATTTTTATACAAAAAAATGTGGGAATCTTCCAAAGAAAGTAAGAAAGCAATCAATTAAATTCCAACATTTTTGTATGAAGATTGAGAAGTAGGAAGCCACAACGTTTGTTTCCAAAAAATTAATCTTCTAAAAATATACCCCTTTCAGTTTGAAATATTTTTCATCTGTTACTGATATCGAAGAAGCAGTGGTAAGTGATGATATACGAAATACTAATGAGCTGGGTTATTTGTTGGAACATTCAATTCAAGGTTTCCAATCTGGATTTTGGTTCACAACTCCGTAAAACTTTGGAAAATAGCGTATTTTTTCATGGATATATGTGTCTTTTCTCAATCTGCTTTGTATACATATTGAAGGTGAAGAGATCTAAACTATATCCATCCAACAAACAAAGCAACCCAAATACAATATTTGATGAAAATAAGAGCCTACAGAAGAGAGAATAGAAAAATCTATTACCTGGATGAAACGAGGGTAAATGCAGGCCACACTGAGTTCAAAATTTAGTTTGATGAATCAATAACTTCTTCAAGTCAGGCCTTTTCAGATGGCCTTTCAACTGGCTTGAAGAATCCTTCAGGTAAGGTCACCTTATTATACTCTCCAGAAACCGCATATGTTTGTGAACAAAATAACTTGTTATTGTTATGTGATGTTATTCATATGAAAATAAACGCTTCCTCTGTTTCAACTAGAACAAAATAACTTCCTTTTCAGAAAAAGGTTGATAGTATGTCACATAGGAAGGAAAACCGGTTTTGTTTCCTACGCCTTGTGGGCCTTCGATTCGAAGAAAACGGGCGATTATCATGAGAAAAAAAGGATGGCATATCTTTTGAGAATTGGTAAAGGAACATAGTTCCGATGCCTAAAAATGCCTCCTAGAACCACAAAAAAGTTGTAAGGTATACCATTCGAGGATAACGTGGTAAAAGCAGAACTATTAAGGATGGTGAATGAACTTAAAACCAAATCTAATAAATACATTGATGTCGAAATTGCTAAAGCACATAATAGAATAGTGTTATGTCTTCTCCTGCACCACTGTGAGCTCAACCCAATAGAGCTTATTTGGGAGTACATGAAAAAACTATGTTGGCAAAAAAATCCTACTTGTAAATTTTGTGATCTTAAAAATATTCTTTAGTGAAGCCGTTTCGTCTATTACCGCTAAAAAATGGAACAATTGCGAAGTGCATGTGAAAGGTAGAGTAGAAATGAAATTGTTTCTGTTTAAAATCTGTTTTTCCGTTAATCAGCTGTCGCCCCCATACGAACGACAACTCTCAGAAGTTGAGAAACTTGTGCGAGCTAAGGATTAACGAGGTCTTACCTTTTAACGTGTGATTCCTAAGACGGTTGCAGAATCATTCCAGCTTCAACCAGATGAATTCTCTCGAGAAAAATATGTGGTCGAGGCAGGAATCGAACCCACGGTCTTCCGATCGTGAGTCGTGCGCACTACCACCGCAGCCAATTCCACACAAGTTGTGGAATGAAATTGTTAAGAGATTAAACCATCTAATGAAAGATTAAGTTGACAGAAATCCGTTGATAATTAATCTTAATGAGGAAAGATTCTTCTAGTAGCAGTTCTTCAGAATCTGGGTAATATCGATCTAAAATGACAAAAGGATTTATTATTTTATTATTATCATTTTTGATTTATACACTAAAACGTCATTTTGAAATCAAAAACTGTTTACCCGTTTGTCCTGCTGAAATAAAATGACCCCATTTTTTTGTAGTTCATTTAATGTTNCCAAAACTCATTATTTTGAATTTTGACATTCCGCGGACCGCTCTACTTCGATGATGAAATGTAATGTTATCAGTTGTTAGAGGGGGTTAATTTAGAAGCACGTGTCTTGGGGAATGTCGAAATTTTGTTGAAGATAAGTGTCTTTAATTTTTTTTCATAGTGATCATCAGAACTTGCCTATTGATTGATTTTTGTGGTGGAAAAGTGGTTCATCTAACGTTTATCATTCAGTCATGGCTCTTGGCGCATCAGTAACTGCGACAGAAAATGAATCAAAATCAAATAATTTGGGATCGGACAGTGAAAGGGTGAATGAAACCAATAAAGAACCAAGCATTACAGCAGGTAGGTGCAGAAGCCTCAATTTGTTCTTCACAACCGATATATTTTTCATTACGTAACTCCGTCGTAACAGCGATTTTTAATTAAACAAACATGCGTCCATTATGGCCCGGAAAATTTCGAAAATGTACAAATATTCATAGAACATATAATTAATTTCACACTCGGTGATTTCTGCAATTAATGTATTTGAGGAATGTGTTGTTTATGAAATACATTAGGTATACCTTCGACAGGTATTGACGGAAATTATGGACTTCGCCTTCTTAAAAAAATTGACCATAATTTACAGGGAGCGGACAACTGGGAATACGATGTTTTTGATCATTTATATAAACTGAACAGAGTGTTAAGAAAATCCTTTAATTTAGTATAATACCAGACAAGAGTTGCAAGAATTTGTGTATATAATGAAATATCTGTTTCAAGAATACGTTCATAGGAAAGTTATTACTTGGGTAAATATTAAGAATCCATCCCTGATTTTTTTTTAGAATATTTAACCATGGTCATGTAACAATAAAACATGAACATTGTTTAAATTATTTTACTCTGAAGTTATCAAAAACTCACATTTTCCTAAACACAGGAATTCACAAAGAAGTTGTTAAAATTAAGTTATTTTACTTAACTAGAAACTAGAATGAATATTCACAAAACTTATCAGAATCAGATGATTTGAATCTTATTGATAATGTTATAGATTCTAGAACATAGATTTTATCTCTACATTTATATTTTCTAGAATCTAGAAAATATAAATGTGAAGATGAAATAAAGTATTAGAAAGAACAACTATAAAATGTATTAATTAAGACAGTTATAATTAAAAAGATGATATAAATAAAATACTTATAACTAACAATATTTGCGAAAATACTCTTGTAAACTGTAATTTTCACTAATTTACTTCTATTTATCTTACTTTTAATGGTGAGTAAACAGAAATGTTCAGGTGGTTTTTCAGCTACCAAATTTGTCAAAAGTATGATTCTGTATCCAACTCCCTCAAACAATTAAATTTCTCGATTTCTTGTAAAGAATAGGTAAACTACACTCTTTCGGTAAGGTGTTTGTTCATATTCATATTACAATGTTATAACAATAACAGTTTTTTGTTATTGTTTTGTTTTTGTTTTTTCTTTTCAGGGATAAGTGGAAGATCATTTTCCATGATGATAAAACTTATATTGTTTTTTTTTATTTATGAAACAAGACGATATTATTATNTTAATAGTTGCTTACACCCTACCATATGTAGGTTTTGAGATAACTTTTAGGGTGTCAATATACAAGTATTTACAGACTTACAGCTGGGTATCTCGAATTCCGAGGTGAACTTACTATAATGACTGGACTATAAACATTTTTTCAGATTTATTTTTTCAAACGGGAAAACTTTCTTTTAATCTTAGCACACTAATGTTAGTTGCAAGTTTCGCTCTCATACCATTATGTTTTCAACAATAAAAGTAAATTTTCTGTGAATATATAGAATTCAACCCATATAAATCATATCCATACAAAAATAACAAAAAATTGAAATTTCTTCAGCTGCACCTGATCATATCGAACCAAAAATGTTTAATAATTCACCAATTGAAATAAGATCTTTTAAAAAACATTGGAAGCATTTTTAATTGAAAACTGTTTTTATAACTTCATGGACTTTTATGGTGTTCTTTGATAGTGTTTACAGATATTTTTTACCTGAAGTTATTTTTTAATCTTCTAGCTGCTGCCTTTTTTTATTGTGTGATTTAATTTTTAGATTGTATATATTGTATTATTTTATAATGTTAAGCTTTTTCATCATGAGATTCAGTTTTTATATTGATGTTTCTTTTAACATACTACATACCACTGATTGGATAATATGTTTATTGTTGAAGAATAAATTCTTGTTACAAACACAATGTCATAAATAAATATCAATATAAACATGAAGTATAAGTGTATAAAATATAAATGATTAAAATAAAATATAAACTATATATACATACATATGCTGAACTCGAACTTAATTTTTTTCTTCGCTTAATGAAGACCCCATGGATGACACATTATACTTTTTTGTATTGATAAAACAAAGGCAGCTGTTGAAAATTTGTTGTTCTGATATCATTTTGATGTCTCATCAAGGCTCAGTACTGTCATTAGTTGCTTTTTTTCACTTCAGAATCATCTCAAGACCTTGTTTAGAACAAAAAAAAATTAGTTTTTATTGTAAAGTTATGAATTCAAACCTGACAAGGCAGAACCCATTTTCAGTATTCCCTTTACCACTCTTACTTTACTTCTTCAATATTTATATTTTCTAGATCACAATAATGTGAAAGAGAAGGCCCCTCTACAAAATGGAAATACTGAGACACATGGTAAGAATCAATTTTTGAATTATTCCTTTTTGAACACTAAGATTATAAATAATAATCCAGCTTTTAAATATCAGTTATATAGAAATGAATAAAGTACCTTGTGTTCAGTTCATTTGAATGCCTTGTGTGGTATGTGGCTGTAGCTGTAGATTCATAGTTCTTCCTATTTTTATGTATAATTGACACGGTTTCCAATATAAATATTGAAATAACCGTAAGGATTCTATGTTCTCGAAAAAAGGGTTTACATGAATCCCTCCATTTCGCTTTACATAAGTACCTGATAGCCCTTTTCTGCAAGACAAAAACCGACTGCATAAGTTGTTTGCTGCAAACACCCCAAAAGGGTATACCATACCTTAGATGAGAGTCTATTAAGGCATAATACACTACTTTCGCTGCAGCTAACCCCAGTTCCTTTGAGATGTTTCTCAGTGCGAAACATCCTCATGCCAATTTTTTGTTGATGTGTGCAATATGCTGAGAGAATTTTAAATTTTCATCTAAGTAAATTCCCAAAAATTTCAAAGTGGAATTATTTTTTATTGTGTTATTGTCTAGGGGGATATTAGGTATATTACACTTGAATGCTAATATATTTGTTTTGCTAGTATTCAATGATAGACGATTCGATTCGAGTCAAACCAATTCTTCACTTTTTTTATGTTTTGGCACATTTTGTTATGCAATCTGTTTTTGTCCTTGTCATGCCACACTAATGTGTATCGTCGTCAGCAAATAAGGTAAAGCTTCCTGTAATCGATATGTTGGTCAAATCATTAATGTATAACAGAAACAGTATAGGACCTAACACAGAGCCTTGAGGTACTCCACAGTTTATCTCTCCCACGTCCGAGTTAGATGACGTTCTTACAAATTGTTTTCTGTCAGAAAGGTATGAAATAATCCAAATATGACTGTTGTACCTAAAACTACCAAACTGACGATTCCTATACATTAGGAAAATAAAAAAAAAATGAAATTGAAAATTCGATTTTCAACTTGTTGTATTTAAATTTGTATCACAGAAAAACCTGCTAAAGATGAAGAGGAAAAAGAAAAGGATGATTGCGAAGAAGGTAAAGGCAAAGATGAAGTAGTTTTCATACAAGATGTTGGATTTTCTGTTAAAATTATGAGCCCTGGTGCTGAAGCATTTGATATTCAAGTAAATATACTGCAATTTAATTTTTTTGTGAAACCAAGTAAAACAAAATAATTGTAGGTATCAAGTATGGAGTTAGTGCAGGAAATCCACCAATTGCTAATGGATCGTGAAGACACTTGTCATAGAACTTGTTTTTCCCTCCAGCTTGACGGAAACAGTTTGGACAATTTTGCGGAACTCAAGAATATAGAAGGATTGAAAGAAGGTTCGGTGATCAAAGTAGTGGAAGAACCCTACACGATGCGCGAAGCGCGTATACATGTTAGGCATATAAGAGACTTACTTAAATCATTGGACCCAGCTGATGCCTACAATGGAGTTGAGTGTAATTCTTTGAGTTTTTTGAATGCTGTTACTCAGGGTGACATTTTAGGTAGGTGTAGGTGTGGCTTCATGTTTATTTTCATTAATAACAAATTTTTATCTTAGAAAAGAAGAAGATGAGACCTGAGAGTGTGGACTGTACGCCACCGGATTATGTTATGCCAGACAGCAAAGAAAGGCCGCTGACAGCTTTACAGCCACAATTCAAAGATCAAAAGACACCTCAGTGTGTGAAAGTTTTAACCACGTCTGCATGGAACCCACCTCCTGGTCACCGCAAAATTCATGGGGACCTGATGTATTTATATGTCGTAACATTAGAGGACAAGCACTATCACATATCGGCATGTTCTCGCGGTTTTTATATCAATCAGTAAGTATTTGGTACTTTTTTTGAAATCCGTTCTCACACTCTACTTCATCGAAGGTCGGGGGCTGAAGATTTCAACCCGAAGCCAGCATCACCTAGTCACTTATGCCATTCATTGATAGAACTCTTAAACCAAATTTCACCTCAGTTCAAACGTAACTTTGCTATGTTACAAAAGAAAAGAAGTCAACGTCATCCATTTGAAAGAGTTGCAACTCCATACCAGTTATACGCGTGGACGGCTCCTACTATGGAGCATACTCTAGACGCCATTCGAGCTGAAGACAGTAAGCCTCAAAATAAGTTTGATTTAGGAATGTTTTCTACGTATATTTTTCAGCATTCTCATCGAAACTAGGGTATGAAGAACATATTCCAGGACAAACGAGGGATTGGAATGAAGAACTGCAAACCACTAGAGAACTACCAAGGAAAACGTTACCTGAAAGACTTTTACGTGAACGTGCCATTTTTAAAGTACATAGTGATTTTGTTGCTGCGGCTACCAGAGGCGCCATGGCCGTAATTGATGGCAATGTAATGGCCATAAATCCTGGGGAAGAAGCGAAAATGCAGATGTTCATTTGGAATAATATTTTCTTCTCGTTAGGATTTGATGTTCGCGATCATTATAAAGAGCTTGGAGGAGATGCTGCTGCATTTGTAGCACCGGTGAGTTTGGAAAGGTTTTTTTTATTACTAAATAAATAAAGCACCGAACAAAAGATTCATCGACCAAGTTGCATACACTTTTGTAACATTATGTAAAAATAAACTAATAAAAAACTATAAATGTATGCTAGTTCTCCCAATTTGTTACTAATAAGGCCTTCACAGAACATGACCAGAGTTGTTTGAGAATATTTATTCCTTTAATTATTTTGAATTGATATTCAAAATAGAGTATAATTTATTACACTCATGAAATATAACAATCTGGAATACTTGATTGTGAAAATAAAATGATGAATGAAAGACTTGAAACTTAAATTGAGACAAATAATTCTCCCAAAGTGATGATGAAATATACTTTGAGAATTATCTGATTGACAAAGTAAAACTTTAGTCCAATTTAACCTATCTATTCATCTATCGAGCCATAATTTTAATTTTGGTACAGAAGAGTATTGAAAATTGAACCAAGGCAGTTCGGATTGCCGATTTGTTCGAATTTTCAAACACAACCTAGAAATGCCGCTTAGACTCATAATTAAGCATATAGTATTGAAAATACAGTACAGAAATTATGAACACTAGTTTTTTGTATTTATATATTATCTACATTCCTGTAATTGGTCTTTTGAAGAAATATGTATGTAGGGTACAACCAATTATAAAAATGTTGTTTTCGCGCTAGTTGTCTAAATATGTACTCAGGAGGCGTTCAGATTTTCGATGCTATACTGTAGTTGATATATTTTACCTTTGACAACTACATTCGTAACTCGTATCAATAAACCATAATTTTGCTGTAACCCACAGGTTACAGCAAAATTATGCATTTTGTTTGTTTTTTTCAGAGAAATGATTTACAAGGTGTAAGGGTATACAGCGCAGTAGATTTGCCAGGACTATACACTCTTGGTACAGTTGTTATAGATTATAGAGGATATAGAGTTACAGCTCAGCAGAAAGGTATGAAATAATCCAAATATGACTGTTTGAATGTTTTTCGAAAAAATAATGTTTCATATTCTACCATCCATGATAACATTTTAATAAACTTGTTTTTTCAGTGGAAGGAGAGGAATTGAGCACGGAAGTAAGGTTCTTAGGATTTCCAATTGATCACAAACACAAGCTCTGCTGCCTCAGGCAAGAACTGATAGATAGTTTTGTCGATTCTCGTTACATGATGTTCATCAAATATGCAGCTTATCACTTGCAACAGTTGAATTTACGAAAGACAGAGGAAAAAAGTAAGGCAATCGACAATAAAATAGCCGTTGAGGAAAATAAGGAGGAAGAAAATGGCAAGAAGGTTGAAAATGGTAAGGACAAAGAGACCGAGAAAGAAGATGAAGCTGAAAAACGTCAGCTCGAAGAGGCTGAAGCTAAGAAAATCGTTGAGAGTATTACTGATGGAAGCAAATTGGAACGTGAGTTATATGGTTCTTCAGCATATCATTTTGGTTTTCTTATATACACTTTTTATAGTAGAAGAGAGTACGAAAAATATAGTCAAAACTGCTTCGATGGCTGTCGGATCTTTGAAAGATACAGAATTTGATATCAGATTCAATCCTGACATTTATTCGCCCGGTATTAAACATTGTGAAACTTCCGATCCTCCAATTTCAAAACAAAGACAGCTCGTTAAAGATGCAGCGGAATTTTTGTTGACAGTACAAATTCCAACATTTGTAAGAGAGCACATACTTGAAATTTTATAAAATTCTAGGATTGATTTTTTTTCAAATTTCAGATTCGGGACTGTTTAGATCATTCTTCGGCCCCAATGGATGGCCTCACTCTCTCAGAAGCCATGCATAGCAGAGGCATCAATATTAGATATCTGGGAAAAGTAACAAACTTGTTGGCTAAAGTTAAACAATTGGAATACCTTTATAGTATTTCAGTTTCAGAGTTATTGTTGCGTTCAGCCAAACATATTTTCACCATTTATTTGCAGGTAGGTACCTACCACCTAGATTAACAATTATAACTTATTTCATAACTTATTTTTTGTAGGGTTGTGAAATGATGAATTTATCAGTGGCAATTGCCCACTTTTTGAACTGCTTCTTATTTTCTGGAACCATTACAAATCCTTTACAGGGGCAAGACGAGGTATTGTGAAATTGATTTAGAGTAGTTTTGAATGTGGTGAAAATTTTTTTGAATGTGGTTGACGATACTTTTTGGTGAATGCTACAGGTTCGGACTTCCGTCGTCCTAAGAGTGTTTACAGATTTTAAATTTATGAGAAGGAAAGTTAGATAGATTGATAGAAATAAATTCAAAAATATAAGAACACTAATTTATAGAGAAAACAAATTATTTATTTTAACCTAAAATGGACTAACAAATGGTTTAAATGTCAATCATATACAGAAAATAGAAATGAAAAATAAAGAGAATGATGATAATGCAAAAAATTATTTCGTCAATAATTGAATAACAGATGGGTTTCATTTATCTATTTATTTGCATTTTTCCATAATATCTCCTGATCCTTATTTCTATTGTTTGTATATTATCAACATTGAACAGCAGAATCTGCATCAGGGCCAGCAACACTTATCCGGTAACTATCCGCTGGCCTGAATACCATCAGGCCGAATACCAGATAACTAGCTCCTATCCGGCTGAATACCGGATTTAAAAAATATTTTTAGGTAATACAAGAAATACAATAAGTAATCACATCATAATTCTAAAGCTTAGAAAATAAATTAGTAATCATACTGCACTAAGGACAAATTATGGTGAATGAAAATTAATTTCTCTGCATTAAGAGGTAGATAGCAAACGGTTTGGCATGTCTTCGTAAATAAAGCCAGCTTCAGAAAAAAGTCCTTCGCTGTACATACTGCGTCAAGGTGCTGAAAGATAGATGCACTGCAATCAACACAATATTGCGCTGTACCAAATGGCAACGTTCCGCCAATTATTTGGCTACCGAATATCCGGTTATCCAACTGCAATTGTGACCAAATATCCGGTATCCAGCTGAATTGCTATTCGTTTCATCTCCAATGTATATGGCTGATTTATAGTTAGGTTGCTGCGATCATTAAGGGGGGAATATTGCACCTTGATCATCCATTAACCTTAATACTTGCTAAAATACAACTATCTGATATAGGTTAACGCCTAGAAATGTACATAGATAACTTGGGAGCCTCATATCGATAATGTGTGTAACAACTAAGTCAAGCGATATTTGATGTGCGTCAGATCACAGCACGTAGATGGTTTCATAGTTGTGTCATTCATGATCTTACTCGCATATGGCTTCGAGACTGTCATTGTCAAGCATCTCTATAGATGAGTTTATCCTGAAATATCACAGTTCCAACATGGCTTCATGAAAAAAAGATCCACTGTNAGATTCATCTAACATGGTTCCTAGAAATTTAACATCATGTGACATCGCTATTCCATCAGTAATATCAACTCCATCTGGAATGTTATTTTTTCTGTTATAAAATTTCATCGAAACAGATTTGGAGGTATTTAATATCAAGTGATTGCATTCACACCATGACGTAAATCTATTGATAACCTCTTTGACTCTTGTTAATACATCTTCCAGTGTAGACCCAGTGGTTGTCATTGCAAACTTAATTATGTGGCATTATGTGACAACATGTTCTGAGAGATCATTAACAAATACCACAAAAAATAAAGGTCCCAGTACTGATCCCTGAGGAACTCCTAATGTCACATCATATTCCTTGGGACACAATATTGTTATATTTGACTGTCAAAAGCCGACCACTCATATAGGATTTTACCCAAGTCAGTATGTTATGTTGAAACCCAAGCCTCTCTAACTTTATATATAGAAAATCTGATGAAACAGTGTCAAATGCCATTGACAAATCAAAAAAAATACTAATTACAAAACTATTGGCATCAACTTGGGAGTATATGTTATTGAGATAGTCATAGGCAGCGGTTTCTATGGAACGATCTTTCCTTAATCTATGTTGATTATTACATAGCATATTATTTGACTCTAAATAATTCACTATTCTAGTAGCCACCACTTTTTCATACAATTTCGAAAGAGAACAAAATAATGAAATTTGTCAGTAGTTATTCAAGTCATTTCAATTTCCTTTTTTAAAAAGAGGAATGACTAAGGCTTTCTTGAACTCTTCTGGAAAGTAGCCTAGCATGTAGGATCGATTCATAAGATAAATGAGAGGAGATACACTAAGGTCAAATATTTCTTTAACAACCGGTATTGACATATCATCTGATCTTCTCGAATTTTAATTTTTCATTAATCTCAATGCAGCATGAATTTCAGCTTCAGTAATCGGTCCATTCTCAAATGAGAGTATAATATTAACATTTGTACTGGTTGTACAAGGTAATGTTAGATTTTGACCTAAGTGTGTGGAAATAGCCGTTTTAGCAGAATTTGAAAAATGATGGGCAAATAGGTCTGCTACAGCAGAAGGGTGTTTACCCACAACCGATTTATGATGGAGAGTGATAACATTATCAGCATAACACGTTCTTTTTCTTCCCGTCATTGTTCACTATATTCCACGTTGCTTTAGTTTTGTTACTGGCATTGTCAATTTTAGTGGAAAAGTAACTAATCTTTTTTTGCTTAACGTTATTCTTGTGTTGTTTCAGCCTATATTTGTATACATCTATATTACTAGGGTCAACTTCTTGATCAGTTGTAATTAAATGGAACATATCTCTTAGATATTTTCCTTCCTGGGCAACATCGTCAGAAATCCCGTTATTATTAATGCCCTTGTTTTTCTTTTGAGACATCAAAACACCAAGATAGGGATTCTAAGGAAAAATAGAATCCATCATGAATAGTCATATCATATAACGTTGGAAACCATATTGTAATACTAAGTCTAGTTTTCAATTCATTAATGCTGCTAGTATTGACACGTCTTTTCACTATAACTGATTTAACAGAACTTTTTTTTTTCATTATTATGTACCTTTTGTTTTTCAACAGTTAATATGTGGGATATGATCTGCAATGTTTGGTTGTACCAATACACAGTTATAAATTTCTTTACAGAAATTGGTTACCATATAATCAATACTAGTGCTGGTAGTGTGATCGTTAATGTTGGTGAATATTTTTGTAGGGCCTAACATATTGAATTTCAATTTAAATGAGTTGAATAGATCCTTCAATAATTTGGTATTAGTATCGTTCACCAGATAATCTATATTGAAGTCCCCACACAACATTATCTTTTCAGTTTTATTCTCAGCCATTTTTGATAGCAAAAAATAGATTCAAATCTCCACTTGGAGGTCTATAAATGATGATAACTATAACTTTAAGCTATTTTCTTCACAGTAAATTCCGTATATTTCGATTTGACACTCTGAAGAATTTTTTTTCAATGTAAGCATTTCCTTATATTTAATACCTTTTTTTTACAAGGATACATATACTGCCCCGAATATGATTTTGTCTGCAATAAATTGTTGCCATTTCAAAATTATTAAAATATGCATATCTATAATAGTTTTCAGTTATCCAGTGCTCCGATAAACAAACGATTTCAATGTCATTATTATGAACAAATAATTCAACAGAGTTCAAATTATTCAAAAGGCCCTGGACATTGCATTGGCATAATTTGGTTTCACATACTGCCCGACTATTATTTATATCTAAAAAAGCTAGTTTGCTCGGTGGAGCAAACCCTGATAAAAATTTTTAGTTCATATCTATCTAATTGAAAACAAAGTGTGATAGTGAAAGGGCATAAGTCCAATCCATTTATCGCATCGTCTCGAGTCCCCTAAGGTTCCAACTTGGGTCCTTTGTTATTTATTTTATTTATCAACAGTCTTGTAAAAAATATCACATCATCTTGCTACTTGTTGTTTGCAGATGACTTAAAAATTTTCAGAAGAATATCAACAGTTGAAGATATAAATAACATCGTTGAATGGTCAAAAAAGAACAAATTGTTATTCAACGTTCAAAAGTGTAATACTATAACCTCCTGAAAAAAAGTCAGTATAACATACAGCTACGAGATGGACGGTATAAAACTCAACAGAATTCGAGAAATAACAGACCTTGGGGTTACTTTTGATTATGAATTATCATTTAGATCTTATATACCGAATGTAACAAACAAGGCCTCAAATATGTATGGGTTTGTAGTTCGCAACTCTAGGAAATTCAACAATATTACCTTCATCAAACATTTGTATATCACTCTTATTAGAAGCATTTTGGAATATGCTTTCATTATCTGGTGTCCTCAATATAACTCGTCACAAGCTCAACGGTATAGCATAGAAAGAGTTCAAAACAAATTCCCGAGATATCTTCACTTCAGAGTAGTACTAGAAAAGTATATGCATACTTAATAAACTTCAATGTACCTGTTTATGAAACCAGAACACCTCACACATTTTATATTGAATTGGCAAGAACAAATTATCATTAAAATCCCCATTAAATGTTATGTGCAATGCCTATTACTACTTTTAGAAATAGGTTGTATGAAATTTTATTACTCTTGTTGATTATTTTTTTAATAACTTTTTTTGTCATTTTGTTGTAGTACAAATCTATTTGTGATATTTACCTTTCCTACTCTGTAACTAGGTAGAGTTTGTAAGTAAAATAAATGAATAAATTTATTACTTTGGGTTTTCTCTGCTAGAGCAAAACATGTTTTTACTCTTCACAAAAGATGGATCAGTGGCGTATTTAATATTGCCCCCCCTCCCAGAGGTAGTTGTAGGACTATTTTCCTACAAATAATATTAACTTTGTCAATATTAGCACATAGTATGTGCCTGCTACCAATTTACGTGTTTCCAATGCCTGTGCATTTGTCAAAGTCTCAATTTTGTCAGCTTACCTGAAATATCACTTATCAAATGAAGTACTAGGCTTTTTTAAGAAGCTGGATTTATTTGCCACTAAACACCCTTGCCAATTGCAGTGAAGAGTCTCAAATATATTCACTCACTTTGAACATACCTGCATTTTTTTTTCTCCTCTTCTCATAATTTCAAATCTGTCAACATTTTTTCTCACAATGGGAATCCGAATCTTTTTACATGGTAGGTAAATTTTTTTTTCAGTTTCAGAGTAAAAATAATAAAAAAAGAAATAAAAAACGAGGAAGGGTGAATCCCCTTTCAGTCAATGACAATAACGAATGGGCAAGTTTGACACCAAAGTCTTTATGGAACCAACTGAAAACAGAATTGAAATCGTATTTCGATTACGATTTACAATCTAACGATATAGAATCCACAATTGACACATACTTCTTGCAAAAAGTATCACTCTTGCGGTCGTTCTGTTTGAAAACTGGAATACAAATACTGTTGAGAGACTATAACTTCGAATCCAGAAATAAACCTATCTTCTATGAAGAAGACATTCTCAATATATTCCCGCTTGTCAAACACATCAATCCCAGAGCCACGGATGCTTACAACTTCTACACCACGGGTCAGAGCAAGATACAGCAAGGCTATTTGAAAGATGGTTATGAGTTGATTAGCGAAGCGTTAAATTTACTCAATAACGTTTATGGAGCAATGCATCCTGAAATCGCGCAATGTTTGAGGATGATTGCCAGATTGAATTACATAATGGGCGAACACGGGGAAGCTATGGCCTACCAACAGAAAGCGGTTTTGATGTCTGAAAGGGTTCACGGAATCGATCATCCCTATACTATTACCAAATACGTGAGTATGAAATATTTTTTATCAATTTATTGTCATAATTATCAAACAGTTACTCGCAAATCGGTAACTCTCAACTTTCATTAGTTTTAATAATTTTTGATATTGATAAAAATGAAAGTTGAAGAGAACAAAAGTCTTAAAACAGGTGCCTTTGGCGAAACAGATGAATAGATAACATGATATAACTTGCCTAATAAATATATTTTGATTTTTTTTACTTTTTCATGTTTACATCATTGTTCAAGATGAAATGTCTGATTTTGATTTGCTGTTATGCATTTCCTCGGTCGATAATTATGAATGAAATGGTTTTGAGTGAATTTCAAACTGTTGTAATTCTTATCTACTACTCTGTTCAAAAAATGATGTGAATTTTCATTTTTCCCAAAAAATATTTATCAATTTTTCCAAGCAGTTTTGTTACACACTTCTGGTATGTTGTTGAGCTCTTGTCCTTGGGTTAGTGGAGATTGTGGGATCTGCATATGTTGTGTATTTCTTTTACCTACTTGAGGGCTCTTTTCACAAACTTGCGTTTTGAGAATAGCTACAAAAACTATTTTTGATCTAAAATGTGATACCATTTGTACCACCAAAATTCCACATTGATACCAGAAGATACAAAAAAGTTATAAGGGCAAGCCTGAATCGGTTTACATCGTTATAATAAATTTAATTTTTCAAGATAATTTGTAAATTGTATTAAACACATAATTTCAATTCTGCCAACATTTTTAGGCCCACCTTGCACTATACTGTTTCGCAAATAGCCAAGTAAGCACTGCCCTGAAATTGCTGTATAGAGCAAGATATTTAGCCGTTATTGTCTGTGGTGAAAATCATCCAGAAGTTGCCTTGCTTGACGTAAGTATATTCAGCATTTCAATTCTTTTTCAGTTTACTCATTCTTTTGCTTGTTCTGTGTTAATTCTGTGTATGTTAATGGAGAAGTAGAAAGCTGAAAAATTATATTATGATTTTTTAGAGCAATATTAGTTTGATTCTTCATGCAGTGGGAGAATACGACTTGTCATTGCGCTTCCTCGAAAAAGCTTTAGCTCTTAATATCAAGTACTATGGAGCCAAATCTCTCAAAGTTGCTGTTAGCTATCATCTTGTAGCGAGGACGCAGAGTTGTATGGGTAATTTCAGGTCCGCCTTGAACCACGAAAAAGAAGCCTACGCCATATACAAGCAGCAGGTAAGTTGTTAATATTCATTTATGTTACCAGGGTTGATTTTTACTGTAACCTATAGCTTGGGGAAAATCACGAAAAAACCAAAGAATCTTCAGAATGTTTGAAGCATCTGACACAGCAGGCAGTGGTTCTTCAGAAGAAGATGAATGAAATATATACTGGTAAAAACGGTGCATCACTGCCACCCATTCAAATTCAGCCACCTTCAATGGGATCTGTTTTGGACATGCTAAATGTTATAAACGGAATATTATTTGTTCAGATAAGGTAAACAAAAAACTGGGTTTTCGAAACTTAGTTTTCTAATATTGAATCATTTTTTCAGTCAAGAAGATATAGAGAATTTCAAGGCTGAAATTGAAAAACGTCAGAATGAAGAATCTGAAGAACAGGAGCATAAATCTCTTCCTGAAGTTACTAATTTATAGCTCATTTCACAAGTAGAGGATAATCATACAATTTTTGAATAGTAGAAAATTTGTTAGACTTCAGTTTATTTGTAAAATATCACAGCAACGTGCATTTTTGAAACTAGTCATATTGACACCAATATTGTTTGAATGCTGATCAAACATTTCATTTTGGTTGTTGTTGGCCAGCATTTACTGTGTCAACACAAAAACAAATACTGTATGAATAGTATTGAAAAAAAAATATTGAGTTTTTTTTTATTATAGAGACAATTGATTACATATTCAGTTCCTAAAATTGGAGTTTTCAGTATTTGTGAAACTGTGCTACTACTTTAAAAAAGAGTTGTCAAATATTCAGGAGAATCATGTTCACATGGTTGGGAACCATCCAACTGAGATGAAATGATTCACTTTTCCTTTGCAATATACCACCCAATGATATACCAAATTGTGCATGTTGCTGTAGGAAAATATATTTTATATTGTTTTTTTTAATATATTTCAAGTTTTTTATTATAACTACAGTTTTTTGTAATCGAAAATTTTGTTATTAAATGAAGTTGGTTACATCTTGCTTTTTCTTAATTCATAATATTCTGGATTTTCTATAATTTTCAAGTATTAGGTTGTTTTAAAAGTTTTATCCGTTTTTATGAATCTACTCCAAACTGTAATATCTCAGTGAATATTCAATTTAACTAAAATAAGGGCCACTTGAACAAGTGCACTTTTGCCAACGTAACACGAGTCAACTAATTCGTTGACTAATTCCGTCAGCATGAAAATTGGGTGCTCGGTATTCGATGAAGTCAACGAAGGCTGTTTTTGTCTGGGCATGATTGGCAAAGGTTCTACAGGTGACAAAATTTATCGAAGTGCTTGAAAAGATGGTAGTTGGTTTTGCGCGTGATCTAAGGAGTATGGTGGGTAAGGCAGAACTTGAACGCTCAATTCGTTTAACTTTCGGACGGTGAACAGGCCTTGCCGTGGAGCAGAATTGGGTCTCTCCTGTTGAACAGTGCTGGCTGCAGCTAACGCAATTTTTGGTACATTTCGTTGATTTGTGATGGTTTGGCCCGGTTGCAGAAAGTTATACTGAATCATTAGTGTCCGACCGTAAGTTTGGTTTCGGTGCCAAACCTGCCGAAACTACGATCGAAACCGAAACTGCATTCGGGAGTTCCCGCGCTATGATCGGTCATGTTCGGTGCATTGAATTTCATACAAGTGTCGAAGACATTTTGCCGCTTCCACGTGCCTTATCATGTCGTGACTATTGTGATATTAGATAACAACTCAAATAAGTAATTTTATGTTTAATATTTTTGAAACCCCATCAATAATATTCAAAAGAAGAATTTACACCTACTCAAATGAACACCTCACCTATTTTAAGTATTTTTAAGGTGCAATTAATATTTCTTCTTGAATAAGGGTTTTTTATGTTGATTATCAATAAGTAAAATTGTCGAAGAGTGCATAACGTTGTGATTTAAAGATTACTTACTTCAAATGTAAACAAACTCTCTATACCCCCTCATTACCCGCCACCCCCCTCGCCAATAAATTGTACAGAAAAGGATAGTACGATACCCGTTTCAAAACACATGTATTGGTATAGGCACCGTATAGGCATGGCAACTCCATGTATTATTATTACTCTGAGCTGCCAAGCTAACGTCAAATGTCAAAATCTACCACTTTTATTTGTAACTACGTTAGTTACAAATAAAAGTTTCAATTCTCTTTTCTTCATTATGATTTCCTACCACGTAGTAACGGCTGTATCTATCAATTTATCAAAATGTATATACTTATTTTGAATATAATTGGATTTTTTGTTCTTCTGTCTACTGTTGATGAGTAAAATACCAAACAAATGTTTGATAAAAAATCAGATAAAAATATAAAAAGAGGGAGAGACCTTCGTTCTTCATCATCGGCACATCCTAACTCATTTTCATAAATCATACCTATGTTTTGTGCTATTTGTCACGAACTTACCAATACACAAAAATAAAGCATAGAAGACAGGAAGGTTTAAAGACCAAAAAAACGGACGCAGGGTTGCATAACGCTAGAAATCTCGAGTGCTCGAACGAAGCTTCTGTTCCATGGCGGCAGTTATGAAACAGAAGTGGTTGTCAAATACGCCTGAGCTGAGAAGGAAGCAATGACCATACAAAAATAGAGAGAGAGAATTGTACAGTAGAAAGTGTAGGGAGCAGTTTGACTTAGGTTAGAGAATATAACCTTAATATAAAGGCCTGAAGAATGATAACATTGGATTTATGAAGAATTAAACAATAATTTTCCCTTCAAAATATGGCTGGTCCATCAAGTTTGTCTCTTAACGATGCAGTTCTGAAGAAAACATCAAATATTTCACCTTTGAAAGAAAAAGTTTCTGGTTATGATTGGAGCCATGGTTTAGATTATAATAAAATACTTCAGAGTTATTTACACACTGGATTTCAAGCAACAAATTTTGGACTAGCAGTCGAAGAAATCAATAAGATGATCAACTGTAGACAATTACCAATTCCTAAAGAAAAATTTATTGACAATGATGATGAATTTACTGCAGTTAAAAATAATTGTACAATTTTTTTGGGTTACACTTCTAATTTGGTTTCAAGTGGCCTGAGAGAAACTATAAAATTTTTGGTTGAGCATAAAATGGTGAGTATTTTTTTATTTAATTTTTACAGTTCCCAGTTCATGTTTAAATTATATTTCTAGAAATTTACAGGTAGATTGCATTGTAACTACTGCAGGAGGAATTGAGGAGGATTTAATTAAATGTCTTGCCCCCAGCTTCATGGGAGACTTCAACATGGATGGTAAAACTCTTCGAGAGTGTGGGATCAATAGAATAGGAAATTTACTTGTTCCAAATGATAATTACTGCAGTTTTGAAAATTGGGTAATGCCTATACTAGATGGCTTATTGAAAGAACAAAAAGACGGAGTCTTATGGACACCCAGTAAAATAATTGAAAGACTAGGAAAAGAGATCAATGATGAAAGAAGTATATATTATTGGGCTTCAAAGAATAAAATTCCTGTATTCTGTCCAGCCCTAACAGATGGAAGTATTGGAGATATGATGTTTATGCATTCATTTAGGAATCCTGGTTTAGTAGTAGACATTGTTTCAGGTAAACTTGTTGAAATTGGCTCTCATTGTACCTCTACACCTTTAGAGAATCCTAGATAAATGCCATAAAAGTCCAATAAGTATGTTAAAGAAACACATATTTTTGTAAATATAATTAAACTATTCTCTGCTTCATCTTTATACTCATTAAGATTCTATGTTATTTGTAATTCTTTTTACCCCCACTTCTAATAATTTTCTTATGAATCAATCTGCCTGCAATCTCAAATTGTCTCATCACAGCTTAGTTGTCTTTTTTTCCCCAGAATACAGCTTTTTTTGGTACTTCAAATGTGTGTAGGTACTTTCATTTTCCAATTTTTTTTTCTCTCCCTAGGATAGTGTTATTGATTCCTAATGAATTGTTGATTTTTCCTCTAAATGAAAATTATGCATGTTTCATGCCTTTAATCTCTAATTTCTTACTTGTGATATTATTGTTTTATGTCATGTTTTCTCCCTTTGGTTTGTCTGCATCTTTTTGTTCACTATAGGTCTTAATCATGCATTGGTTTTGGAAAATCTCTTGTATGTCTTTTTGTTCTTTCATCAATCTGATGGTTCCTAAGATATTACCCTCATTTCTTTCAATTATATTTCATCTTGTGATTTAAAATAATTTTCTTCAATCAGAATCTTTCAACCTTCATATGTATATATGATTTTCTATTAGTAATGTGATGTCTTAAATCATTTTCAAACTCATCAATTCTTTTCAGTGCCTTTACTGTATCTGATCTTATTGTAGGTACAATTTTTTCTCTTTGTTTTCAAGTTATCTCAGCGTTGCTGTCTTCTTTTTCACTATTATATGTAACATTATTGTATGTTGCTGTCCTGAAATATTAGGTTGGGTTGATTTGATAACTTAAATTTCCTTCTTTTCTTTGTGTAGTTCTATTTTCCATAGTTAATTCCATTATATTCAGCCATTCGTAGTTTATGTTAAGTATTTATGTATACAGTATAATTATCCACAGTTCTTTATCGTTTGTTACATATGTATACTTATACTTTTAAGGATGAATTCATATAATCCTATTATCAAGTACTGAATCGATAAATATAACATTTTCTGTTAAATCATTTAAATTGATAATAATTTTAAGTATTGATCTTACTCTTCAGATTTACGAAGACTCAACTTGATGGCAATGAAATCTTTAAATACAGGAATGATCATAGTAGGAGGGGGACTTATGAAGCATCATATATGTAATGCAAACTTGATGGTTAGTCTCCGTTGTTTTTGGCAGACGTTATTATTAACTTTCATTTAATTTTCAGAGGAATGGCGCAGACTTTGCAGTTTATCTTAACACTTCACCCGAATTTGATGGCAGCGATTCTGGAGCAAAACCAGATGAGGCAAAGTCATGGGGAAAAATAAAACCTAACGCTACTTCTGTAAAAATATATGCTGACGCCACATTGATTTTTCCTTTGTTGGTAGCTCAAACATTTGCAAAATGTTTTAAGTGACTGAATGAATTCCAGATGTATATACTAAAGTGGAAAAAGTTTCAAATAAAACAAGTTTTATATACGTTTTTGTAATTTAGGCAATAAGATATTTATAAAACTTATAAAAAATTGAGTATTTAGAAATATAGAATATGTATACACCTTTAAAGCAATTTATACTTTTCGGAAAACTTGGTAACATGCGTTCAATTATATACAAGTGAAGGGGTGTTATCAAATTCAGAATATTTTATATTTTGATAATTCAACTGCTTTTGACAAAATTATTTGAACATCCATAGGCGGGAAATTTTGTAGGAGTTTCAAATTGGACGGAAAATCTCCTTCTAATAACTGATTTTTCAATATTCTGAAAGAAAAGTTAATATTAAAATGTTGACACTAATAAAAAAGTTCACTCACATAATCATTGCACAGCAAACGTGAATTAAAAAATCAAATCTATTACTATCAGAAAACAAGGAGTCCCATATTCTCAGTACGTCAGGTAGAGGAAATTCTTGAGACAACAGGAGGGTAATCCATCTGAAAAACTATCTTTTCAGAAAAATCGATTTCCGGATGTGTCAAAGGATACATTTTTTTTTCAAGTTGCACCTACTCGGAATAACTATATTTTAAATATTACCTAAAACTATAGTATTGGGGTTTCAGATCTAGTTGCTGAAATTTTAGCCAAATATCGAGATCACAATTTTTCAATTGCATTAATAATCTAGTCATCATTTTGTTGATGCCTCTCTCCGATTCATCTAGACTTTTAATGAAGAAGTCCCTTATTTCAGACATCAAATTTGTGAAACAGAAGAAACAATCGGCTTCAGCGTATTCTGGAAAAAAATTAGAAACAAAAACTAAACTTCAAACACTTAGAGTAAAAAATAAATTATATCAACTGTGACTGTGACTTAAATGATTTCCTTTCAGCTGTAGACCCTTCAACAATTCCATGATACAATGTCATTTTCTGTAGAAAAATCTTTCTTATCCAAGATTAAAATGTAAGCTGAGAAATAATAATTAACTATGGGTACCAAGATATCTTCATAAAAATGAGTTGCCTACACTGTATTATAAAATGTTTCGAAAACTCTCCTCACAAAGTACTTCAATCTTGGTAGGTTACTGATGAACTTCGCGGGAAAAATAGCATAACAATGAAAATACTTCTATGGATCTTTAGTCCCAGTTAACAATTTTTTATAAATGAAAAATTGAAGCAAAATATTGTGCCATCACAATATTCTCTATTTTACCTGGAAAGCTTCAACAGTGATTTCCCAACTTCTTTACCCAGCAAGCTTATTTAATATAGGAATATTTTCATCTGTTTTAAAACACCAATAGTCATTCCCCTTCATTGAGATAATGAAAAACATAAATGGGATTGGTAAAAATATTGCTGATGAACCATTTGCCAATAACTGAAGAGCAGTTAGGTTTTCAAAGACAAAAGGTGTGAGTGATGGCATACTTTTTGGATAGCCTATGAGAATAGCAGCTTCTATAACAGTATTTTGCAACCTATGGCAAGCCTTTGACTGGATGAACTGCAATGGTTTCTTAAATTTAACTTAAATAGGTCATATCACAGCAAATGAATGATAAAATCTGATGTTACAATATACATCAAAGACATAATGTAACTACATAATCTAATCCAAACCAAGCAGAGAATGTCGAAGGCTGGTGCGACGCAAATCTCTTAACATTCAGAAACAAACTTTCCCATTTTCAAACGTGAACTTATGAATGGATTGACTTGATGAAAATTAATAACAATATCTATGTTATTGTTACGCAATTTTCACAAGCATTTTTAGTTCTAGACGGGTTTTGTTAACACAGTAGCTTCGTCCGTAGAAATGAATATTGCAAACTGGGCTACAATTCTTATATACAAGAACAGTAGATACCTAACTTAATTGGTTAGTGGTGAAAGGGATATCAGGTAGAATTTGTAAACTAATTACACTTTCAGTTCTTTGACAACAGGTACATTTTTATATATAAATAAACTTATTGGTATTATGAAAAAAGGTTCAACAATGGTGAGTGTCAACCTAATGTTAGTTTGTAGACACCTGATCTGTTTGTTATCCTTGTCTATTTGTGACTTGTTCTTTATATGTCCACCCAAGGAGTTACCAGTCTTATACGCTATGTTAATATTTTGATTTAATAGTATTTTTATTTTATCTGATGCTTTTCTGGTATATGCGAGTGTTTTGAAGGTTCCAGAAGGTGAAGGTATATACTTGGTTGAAGTTGTTATTCACTGCAATTTGTTTCATCAGGCTTAATTCCTTATTGAAATTCTCTGCGGACATTGGTATGTTAATTAAACTGTGGTTCATACTGTGTTGAGCTGCTAATTTATGTTGCTGTGCGTGATTAGGATATTTGTGGTTGCAATTACAAAAATAATAAACATTTGTTTGAAGGTGGTTAACAATGTTTACCTGAGGCTGCTACGGATAGTGTTCCCAGATCTGAAGCAGGTCCTGATTTTATAATTGGACCCAATCCGTCTTATCCTTTCCGATAATCCTCTGATGTGGGGAAGTACAAGTACTGGTTGTGGTGGCGGTTTCTCTTCCTTGTGGAGTTATTGCTGTCTTCTAGCTAAGGCCTGTTCTACCATCATTTTGGAGTAACCATTCCGTTGAAGGTCATTTTTGATGATGCCTAGTTCCTTTTCGAGACCTTCCTTTGTATTACAGAGACCAAAAGCACGGTCCAGTAGAGTCTTGATGATTCCTCATTTAGTCGATTGATGGTGGTTGGATTTCTGGTTCAGATACTGTCCAGTGTGAGTGGGTTTTTGATATACAGATGTTTCCCATTTAGTGTCGGTCCTCTTCACCAATACGTCTAAGAAAGGCAATTCGTTGTGGATTTTTATCTCCATTGTGAAAGTGATGGAAGGCCTTACGTTGTTGATGTGCTTCAGGAAAGTGTTCTGCATTCCCATGGTTCTATATTATGAAGGTGTCGTCTACGTATCTCAACCAGACTCGGGGCTTCTTGTGGGCTCCTTCCATGGCCAAAGTTTCAAACCACTCCATATATAAATTCGCTATAACCGGTGAAAGTGGCGATCCCATTGGCAGTCCCTCATCTTGCGTAAAGAATTCGTCCTTTAGTTGGAAGTAGCAGTTCCGTACACAGCATCCTAGTAATTCCATGATTACTTGTATCGGTAAGTTTGTTCTATCTTCCAGGTCCCCATCTTCGGATAGCTTCTTCTGTATGATTTGAAGTGCTTCTTCGACAGGAACGTTGGTGTAGAGGCTTTCCACGTCGAAACTGATCAGTTAATCCTGCTCTTTGACTTCGATTTCCCCTAGTAGTTCAACGAAATGCCTTGAATTTTTCACAAAAGATGATGTTTTACTTTGCAGTGGTTTAATTATTGGTAGTAAAAATCTGGACAAGTTCTGAGTGGCTGAATATCTGGAGCGAATGATCGGTCTGAGCGGAACATCCTTTTTGTGGATTTTGGGTAGTCCATACAAGTGAGGGGACTTACTGTGGTGAGGTGTTAGCGAAGATCTCTCTTTTTTCGTAAAATAGACTTTGTGTTTTTTCAAAGTCTGGTACAACTTCCTTTCAATTGATGCAGTAGGGTCTCTTGAGATCTTCGTGTATTTTCCTTTCTGAAGCACCTCTTCGATCTTCTGTTCGTAGAGATCAGTATCCATCACAACAGTAGCGTTTCCCTTGTCTGCCGGTAAGATCTTGATGGTGTTGTCTCTACGTAGCCCGTTCAGGGCTCTTTGTTCTTCATTGCTGATGTTAGAAGTTGGAACTGAATTCTTCTGCCTCGATCTGATCAATAAGGGAACTGGTGGATTCTACTGCAGTTATTATTTCCAAAGTGGGCACAGATGTTGGTGCAATGGCGAAGTTTAGACCTTTCCTCAACAAAGATTCCTCTATGTCCGTGAGCGGGCGGGAACTCATGTTGATGACGTTGGCGGCTTCATAGTTGTCCTGTTCTCGTTCGGCATTTGGGCATTGTTTCCTCACCAACTTTCCCCACTTCCTGTTGTGGGTATTCCCCATGTCTTGTCGGATCTTCAAGCATGTGCTTTCAATCTTGGCAAAGATTGGTCCATGATACTCTTCCAAGGTCTCTCTTCTTATTTCTTCAAATCGTTCTGTGGCATCCTGCATCAGAGTTACTTTTTTTTGTTTGTTTGATTTTTGATTGTTTGATTTTTTCAGGGTTATCAAATCAATTTTTATTATATTAGACAATGGAAGTCAGAACTGATGAAATACAATAATAAACATGTTATCAATTACTTTACTAAACTTTGCCAATAAGATGTATATATCTTGGGTAATAAAGCATATTTTGAATTGAATTGAATTTCACTATTAACCAATTCAGTACCTACTGTTGTTGTATATAAGAATTGTAGCTCAGCTTGTAATATTCATTTCCAACAACGAAGCTACGGTGTTTTCGAAACGTGTCTAGAAATAATTTTTGTGAAAATTGTGTAATTATTATCACAAAATGTGAACTACCGAACATGTTTACTCCACGAAAATGTTAAGTAAAAGAAACCAACTAAATTATTTCCAGGACCACATCATGTTGAGTAAAAAATGGCAGAAAATTGTGTAATTATTATCACGAAATGTGAAATACCGAACATGTTTACTCCACGAAAATGTCAAGTAAAAGAAACCAACTAAATTATTTTCAGGACCACATCATGTTAAGGAAAAAAATGGCATCAGCAAGCGTTACTATCATAATAATCTTTATCAAATAGGGTATCAGGGAACTTTTACAAAAATATTCATGTTATAAAACGAGCATACAGCTTTTTGTTTGAAGCGAAAAAGAGGAAATCATGTAAACCGCATCAAAGTTATCAAAGAAACATCAAGGCTCATAAAAAGTCTCCCAAAGACTAAATAACACTTGGTAAAGAAGTTGTTTAAACACAGTAATATTAAAAATATGTAATGAACTACCCAGAGCTAGGAGACTGGTACATTTTCTAGCCAATCAATGAATTTAGTAAACTATTGAAAACAAACTTATCTCTAATATCAATTATAGTTTGAAAGAATGTTATTCTGAATCATCTTGAGCAAAATATTCACCTACAAACATGAATGTTTATTTTCTTTTTAAATATTTTATGTTATATTTGCATCTAAACAATGTATGTTGATTTCTTATCTATATTTTGTACTATGTACAAAAAGATATAATATCTTATAAACAATAAACATATATCCTCTTTCTCAACTTAAAATGTTGCCAATGAAACACTAGAATGATAATTAGGAAATCATGTAGTTTTTTTATAGCTTTATATTTTTACATTTTAATTGGACCACAAAATTATCTCTACCCAACTGAGTCATTATAACATTAAACATTTAAATGTTCTGAAGCACTCAGGAAATATCCTTTATAATTTGTAAAGTGATAGTTTTGTACTCGCCTCTGAATGATATATCAGGATCACAAGCGAAGGCATGATATATAGGGCCTACTATTTCATTCATTCCTTGAACATATCCCTGTCCAGGATTCAATTTGGCATACAAAAATAATATCCTCTCTACTACTTCCCAATGAGCTTCTCCACCTTCTTCCATGGGGGCGTAATCCTCATTTGCTTTTTTTATTGACAGTGCAATCTATTAACAAAAAGCAAATCGATGACTTATAGCAAATTAGTAACAATAATAATAGGTTACTTCAAAGTATATAAAAAAAATTACAACATTCAACTAATTCAGTAATATAAATAAACCTAGAAAAACCTTACAAATTATGATAATTATAGTAAGTTATGACTAATTTAATGAGAACTTAATATTGATAAAGAAACAACATTTTTATTAAATATTCACTACACCAATTAAAATTGAAAAATCACTGAGAACCTAAGATTTCATTATTAAATGAAAAACTATCATTTCAATGAGTCACAGATATCTGTGATTGAATTGAAAGGGGTGTATTTTTAGGAGAGATTATTTTTTGGGAGAAAAAGGTTTTGGCGTTCTACTTCTCTATCTTCATAAAAAAAATTGTAAGAAAGGAAGAAAGCAATTTATTTCAAAATAAACTATTCACAAATATAAGTAGATCATGCAAAGACATAACTTTCAGACACGAACTGGAAGAAACAGTCCTCTAGAAACAACTACTTTCATATAAACATTGAATTACACGAAAGAAAAAGAATACTCTCGAAACAACTACTATATGAGCATTAAATTATACAAAAAACACTTTTTCCTATTCAGTTTGTACTCCAAACATTCGTTATGGAATTGAATCAGATATCACTCACAGGATTGCTATACAATATAGGATATGAAAGAAATAAAATTTCACTTAGATGGAAACTATCATTCTCAATGGGGAACATCTGATGTTTCGGAATAATCATTTAACTCTTTTTTAGCTCGACCACTTTTCTATATATTTAATAATTCCCTATCATCTGGCAAATTCCCGGACTATTGTCGCCTCAATATATAAATCAGGTCGAAAATCCGACGTGTGTAATTATCGTCCAATTTCTATTCTTAGCGCAATCCCTAAAGTTTTTGAGAGCATCATTTTTGATTATCTTACTTATGACTGCTCCTCAATTATAGGGACCGAACAATTCGGATTTACATCCAAAAAGTCAGCTGAACTGGGTCTAATTACCTACGTTGATTTTCTGTCTGACGCTCTGTTTGAGGGTTTGCAAGTTGACTCTGTGTACACTGATTTCTCCAAAGCTTTTAAAAAAGTTAATCATGAGCTATTGATCCATAAATTTTGTTTATATGGTGTTGATGGGCAAATATTGCAGTGGCTCAAGAGCTATCTTACAGAAAGAACACAAATTGTTAGAGTTAATCATTATTCTCATACCATCGCAGTTACATCGGGTGTTCCACAAGGTTCATATTTGGGACCACTGTTGTTTAACCTTTTTATCAACGATCTAATCAGCTGTTTCCATGAAAGCGAAGCTTTGCTATTTGCCGACGATTTAAAATGTTTCAAAATAATTAAAAGTGGAGCTGATACATTGTATCTACAAAACGATATAGATTGCCTATCCAACTGGTGTTCGCAAAATGGTCCTCTATCCAACTCGTTACTCCACTCTTATTAGGAGAATTGCCAAAACACATCAATTTTTGACTACTACAGTGGGGGGTAACTCTGTCAAAAAATTTAAATAGCATGGGGTAGTGAGTTATAGCTCATTTGAAAGTGGCTTTTATTCTCTATTTAACCTTGCAAAGAATTACACCACATACAGGAAGGCAACTAAACCAACACCAACTTTTGTTACTAATAGTAAATGTTCAAAATGTTGTCCGTTGACCTCTTAGCAAAAATAAAGTCTATTTTTAGTTTCGGTCCTGATGCTTTGCAAAGTATTGCGTTTAATTGTTGTGTACACTTCCATAATCCGCGCACGCAACTCCTGAATAGAGTGACACTGAGTCTCGTAGACTTCAGATAGCACCATAGGAAGAAATCTAAAGGAGTTAGATCTGGTGATCTTGGAGGCCATTCCACAGATCCTCGGCGCCTAATCCATTGTCCTGCATAAACAGTATTCAAATGAGTCCTCACAGCAACCGCAACTTAGAGTTACTTCTTTGCATGATCTACACATCTTTATAGTTTAATTCGAAATCAATCGCTTCTTCCTTCCTCTGGAAGATTTCCACGATTTTTTTGTATGAAGATGGAGACGTAGGAAGCCAAAATCTTTCCCAATACATCCTTGTATTTTATATTTATATGTATAGTGTAATAGTACCGATATTTTTATTTTATTTTTTGTACTTGTTTTGATTTTATATCAAGAAGTTGATGGTTTCAAAATACAAATATATTTGAAGTATCTATCTATTTATTTTTTATTGTTAAATCAACACAAGAGTTCGAACTAAAAAATTCTGGTGTATGGGGTATTTTTTTAAATCCAGTTGATGCTTGCTTGACTATGTTATTTTCAGCTGTTAGAATGTTTGATATTAAAATTTAAATAAGTGACTTATTTGTAAGAAACATCCATAGGAACATATAGTTTGAATTGCGATTTTATATACGCCCTTTTCTTTTTTTGTCTTGAGTGAATAATTTGTATATAACCAACATTTTGCTTCAGAATATTTTTTTGTGAATCAAAATGAATTTTCATTATTAATCAATGATGAAAATACAAATATTTTGAATTTCATTCAAAAGAAGGGAATACAATTGCCATTAAATTGGCATTCTTTCCATAAAGAAAAAGTATCGTGAAAATAATCCACGAAAATTATGATATACTGAAAAAAACAACTTGATGTTTGAAAAAACACATGCCACTTGATTTTATTAGAATTACCTGCTACTAAAACGAATCCTTATGTAGAACTATGGGATAGAATGATGAAAATAATTAGACCGAAAAATAGATCCGTTCTTAATTATTTACAGTACCTTCGTTATTCCCAATCCTTTTCTTTCAACATTTGCACATTTCAAAACTCTTCTCTGCACTCTTGTATGTAATCTTTTAACATCATTACTATTCACTATTTCGCTACATGGAAATTCAGTTGGTTGCTGAAAAAATGATATGTCCGGACACAGTCTTCTCACATCCTTATCAATTTGCAATAAGACTTCATTATCTTTGAAAAAAGTCTGCCATTCACTTTCCGGGTTGATACTCAAGGGATGATCGCTATGTGTTACATCTCCACTCGATTCATTCTCTCCGGGCATCACAATCATTTCCTCTGAAAAAAAAAAGATGTTTTTCAAGCTCCAATTCAAAATATCATATAACTTGTTGAAACGAACACAGCCCAAACACAACGCATTTACCTGAGTAATTAAAGTAATGAAATCTCCGCTAACAAAGGCGCTTTCTACGGCATCGACAGAGATTTCAATCCTTGAATATTAAAGATTAATGAGGCTCCTCGAAGAGGTCTGGCTTGATCTTTAAGGACAGGTGAATTCAGCATGCATTCGTGGTTCAGCCTAGCACCACTGGTTAAACCTAGGGTGTTGGATCGTGTTCGGGCTCTGTTCATTTCAACCAGTTGCCTTGTAGTGAAAGCTGCAGTGGCGTCGATGTCAAAGCTTGGCTTTGCAATTGACTGCTTTAGATAGCCTCGTTTATCTTTGATATTCGAGGATTGAGTTCTCTGTCAGTCTCATAGATGGCGTCTTCATAGGAGAAGAAGTATCTTCAGCATTTATTTCATAGTACATATGTATATGTATTTATCCATTCACCGTCAAATATGTCGATAAAAAAGCACTTGAAACAAAAATTCGATATTTAAAAAAATATTAACTCTGGTGCTAGCAACTCCAACACAAGTGTAAAATATGGTATCGGAAAAGCTACAATAGCTGATATAAAAAAAATTGTACAGAATAGTGAAATACCTCCATGAAAGAGATGTTGATCTATTGAATAGAAAAACTTTGAAATTCAGTTCCAATCCTGAAGATGAAACAAATTTATTTAAATGGTTTATGCAGGAGAGAAGTAAAGGTATGTTCTTTCATCATAAAATTATTTTACATTTAGTAAATTTCAAAAAAAATATATCACATAATGATTAGTTTTTGTGGCTATACATACATATGTACATTTGTAGTATGTATTTTATAACAAACGTTTGCTCTTTCCAGGTACCCCCATTTCTGGAGAAATGTTACAAGAGGAAGTGATTTCAAGGCGAGTTCGGGATGACTTCATAAATTCAAAAATTGATTTGGTATTCGTCAACGAACTATGTATGGAGAGTATCTTTCAAGTGATTATGATGCTGTTGAGCCATTTGTTCATAAAAATAAGGAAAATAATTGAAGAAAACAATCTTACACATGATCAAATTTATAACGCTGATAAAAGCTGACTTTTCTGGCGAATATAACCTAGTAAAACTTTGGCAAGTTCAGTAAAGAAATTTGCTGCAGGAAGGAAATTAAGCAAGGAGAGAATTACCTTCATGCCTTGCTGTAATGCTTCAGGAAGCCATAAAGTGAGATTATTGGTTGTTTGTAAAAGTCTCAAATGGTTATTTCAACACCTCAACACGTGTTTCGATCACCAAGTGATCATCTTCAAGTCAAAAGTATCCAAAATGTCTACTTCCAATAGAAAAAGTACAAAAAAGTTATACATTTTGACTGAAGTGTTTTACAATTACTAATTTGGTGGGAATTGAATGTTCAGCAAAAAAGTTTGAGATTTTTTGTGGATCTTTGTTTTTTTTTAGTTTAGTTTAGTTTTTTTACAGGTTTTCCTATTTTACAATCCATTATTTATTGTTTCCCAAACTTGTTCAGTTTTGTTACTGAAATTCCTTATTTTTGAGTCATAATAATGAAGTTCCTATTTTTTTTAAACACAAGTCATTACTCAAAGGATTTTTGTAACTTTAACCCTCATCCGTTTTTAATGGTGATGGTTTGAAATGATACATCACTATCCAATCAACACCTTTTTCATATCAGGTTATTTATTGTGTTGTTTCAACAAAGATATTTGCTACCTATGTCCTGTATTTCAAGAGATTTCGTGTAAAACTCTTCGAGGAACATACAAAATTCAAGGTTGATTAAGTCAGTGTTTTCAATAGTTCAATATTAAAATAAAGTATGATCAATCAAATATGGTTTAGCACCTCCAGATGAAAGAACACAAATTATTCTTTATTAAAAAAAAATAAACGCCTCAATTATGGATGCAAAATTAAACAAAATACCATGTATAACTCAAGTGATAGCAGCCAATGAAAAATATATTGAGTTTTACGAAAATACCTAGTTAGATATTTTGCTATGGCTCTTCTAAAAAATTTCCATCATAATAATAATAGTAGACATGATCAATCATCTTGACAAATTCATTTCATGAACATAAATTCAAAATCGAGCAATATTGATTCAGAATTCAAAAAAGTAGGTACAATTTAGAGTACAGCTTTCCAAAATAAGCCTTAAAAAATAACCAAAATACTAACTTATGAACTGTTTGTACAAGTTTCGTTTGTCTGCGAGATAAGATTCCCATTTTTTCTGATCGGGAGGCAAAAAGTTGAGCAGTAATCTCCAGCAAAGCGATCTTTTTCCCTGATCGTCTGGGATACCTGAAATAAAGATATATGATAAAAACAAAATGGAAAACGACCTACACCCCTTTACCGTTAAATGAGATCTTTTTTAAATGACGTATATTGATAACCTCTTCTTGAAGAACATCATCGAATTCTTTCAATCTAAAGTAAAAAAAATATTAATTAATTTCAAGTCAGCATTTATTTTCTTTTTGAATGTTTCACCTTGCCTTATGTGCCATTTCTTCGACAAAACATCAATGTTGCCAATTGACTTATTTTTTGGGGAAGTCTGTGAAATCAATGTTGAAATAAAAATGATTTATGCTTTTATTGAAAGGTTACTCAGTATAAAAGATACTAACCTAACCTAACAAATGACAGAATTCAACATCTGCATATGATAAATTAAGGCAGATATTGTTCTTCCATTCAACTGATGAAGAAGCTATTATTGTATAACAATGATATATAAAAATGTACTTTGTACATTTATTCCAATATAAAATATTGGTGTGTCCTTTATTATCAGTCTCCAGATCCGATCAGCTATTTACTATAGATTTTAGTGGTATCGAAATTTTTCAAGTATTTTGTAGGAATTTCTGATTATCCGTAGATTTTTTTAACTCTTTAATTTTCGGACCATATTTGCGTTTTTTTAGTATATTGAGTGAATAGTTGTCTCCTTGTCAGGAATATGGTCGAGCAATGAATTCAACTGATAGCTGAAAATTAAAAAAATGTGAGAAACCTGATCAAACCGGCAAAAATAGAAATACACTAAAATTGGCAACAATGCAATATACATTTCCAAAAGAGTTCGGTTATTAAACTTTAAACTGACTATTTATCATTTAAACATTACTAGAGACAGCTTTCGCTTATAACTATACCTTATCATATGAGTGTTTCACAGGACTCATAAACATACATCTTATTTCTGTGGGGTGTACACTTCAACGCGCTGCAAATTATGCGTTGAGCGGAGTTGTTGAAATACATTTGCTCTTATGAGCCAACATATAGTGAACAAATTATACTCAAATTTCTTCGCTTATAGTGAATATTTATATTACATCGTGCTGATGATAGCCTTTCTCTCAGATTCCATGTGTCACGAATTCTTTTGTATTCTTTACAAACCTGGAGTAATTCTATTAGCCTCAACCATTTCATCAATTCTATTAGATTTCATCAAATAACTCATCCGATATGAAAATGAGCTCAATGTGTAGATGTGATTGCTCAAGGCACTTCATTTTCCTAGCGGTATATGAGGCAATCAAAATTGTTTTAAAAATTCCAGCAACAACATGTAGCAATTAAACGTACGTGTAATCGCTCAACGATGGGAGATGAGAGGCTAAGCGGTATGTGCATGCTGAGTGTTCAAAGGAGAAGAGGTGAGGAGGATACTGAATTATTTGAATAGGTGATGAACAAATTTGGACAGCAACCTAGACGCCTTCAGTTATTATTCAAATCGTAACTTAATACACCAATAAATTTGTAACCTTTTTGTCATATAAAATTGATTTTGTTTATTTCTTATGAACATTTTATAGACTATGCCACTCGCACGGTCTTCTCGAATCTAACGACAAGTCGTTTGCTAAACTCAGTCAAGCTGTTTGGGCTGTAGTGCGTACTATCAAAATGGTTATATATACATACTAATATACCTACATAATGATATATACATACATAGAAACATACATACTTATATACATACACTCGAAAAGCATTACCCCACCGCTGCCTCGAGGCGGAGTTTCATAATTATGTTGTGGTGTGTTGTGGTACCCTCTGATGTGACGGCGAGTGTTCAGACTATTCTGTCCCTTCGGGGAGCGTTCTGACATTTCGAGTCAGCTAATGTTGAGTTTACTCAAAATGGGAAAAATAAGAGAAAATATTGGGTTCATCTAGTAAAATGATTTGAGAGGGAAGCGAATAGAATTTACTAGTGAAAGAACTAGGAGTGTGATAAAGAAAGATTTCATCAATATTTCAGGATGTCAAAAAAGTCAATTTGGGGAATTACATTCTATGGTTGAAAATGATATTAATAAAAGATGAATATTTTTGAATATAAGTCCGATAAGATCGTCCGACATCTTGTGCACAAATAAACGCAAACGACCCCTACCACCGTTCTGTCGCCGATGGGAATCAAAGAGTTCACCAACTACCTGTACTCTTTGATGGGAATCGGTTGATCGCCGACACGACAGATCGCGTCCCGACACGCTGCCCTTTAATAATATAATTCTAATCGTATTAAATGTATGGATACGATATACTTATGGCACGCCACGACACGCCCCGACACAATAATGTAATTCCGCCTTTAGTCGGGTAAAAAATATCTTAATTTTTTATATGTACTTCCTTTCCGGACAGGGGTGTGCAATTGTATCCTTTTGCACCCCATTGCTGGCACCCACGAAGTCATATACTCATTAATAAAAAAGGTTCAGTATTTTTTAATTTTAAACAAAAACCAATAAATCATTATTGATATTTCCTTCATTTTATTTTATATGGCCGTTCGAAAATAAACATGTGATGCCCATATACGATGGGTCAAGTTCGAAAACATGTGGAAAGATTCACGAGTTGAAAATAGGTCCTTAGATTAATTGTTCCCGCCAAAAGTATTTTGCTGTCTCAACTACAGTATTCCGTAATTATACGGAATACTGTGACTTTACTTGATGACAAAACACACCACAGTAGAATAATACTTTTACCCGAGAATACCTACCACACTGTGAAGCAACTATTATTTCTAGTGTCAGAACCACATAATATGTCAGAATTGTTAATAAGTTCCTCCAATCCAGAGAGGTGTAGAAATAACTGCCCTAAGACCAAAAAGTCAAGTCAAAACAGATGAAATTAAGGTCACGTCACAAGTCACGAGTGAAAAACAAAAGAAAAAGTCCAGAACTCACAAATGACAAATGTCACATTGTTTTTCACAACAAAAATAATATACTAAGAAAACATCTGGAAATTCTTTCTTTAAAGCAATATTGTTTCTTTGATTATTAACATTAAGGAATGTCTTGTAATGGAATGAATATAGAAATTCTATAAAAGGTTAAAGGTTTGTAAGAATGAAAAATTATCATATTTAATAAACATTTATGGTATTTCAGATGCTTCAAAGTAAATGTCATCATTCGAATGCATTACCCTTCGAGACGTGCTCATTCTGTAATTCCGCAGCTCCAGAGACACTGCTGGAAATTTGTTTTGATTATATTAACAAACATCTAGAAACTATCTGCAAGTATGATTCACTATCAGGAGATCTGACATTGATGAATGGGCTGGCTCTGCCAGTAGAAATTTGTGAACGTTTGTTAGATGTCAGATGTAATAGTTTAACACCTGTTAATTCAAATTTCATCAATATATTCAAAAACACTGAGTGCACTAGGCTGAAACGGGTCAGATTAAGGAAATCCAAGATACAGGACCGCGACTTGGAAATTTTACTCCAACATAAGTTAATAGAACTAGATATATCGCAAAGTCCAGATCTTACATCAAATTGTATAAAATACATAACCGAACATGGGTCAAGTCTCTTGTCGCTTAGTATAGGGGAAAACACATCAATTTTTCCAAATGAAATCTATGGCGAACCCAAATTTAATGAGGAACAGTTCAACCAAGGATTTATATTCTTAGCACCCTCTCTTAAAAAATTATCTCTCAGAGGTCTCAATTCGCTACAGCCAGCTTTTTATATGCAGTTGTTGAACAATCTGTCAAATTTAACCTATTTGGATTTATCGAGTTGCGGCGATTTACATAACTTCACATATGCAACACATCTCGTTAACTTGACCTCTCTTATTTTATACAATGTAGATGCTATTGATAAAATGGTACCTGCAATTTGCAAATTAGTTAACCTAAGACACTTAGATATATCCCAGTCTAGAGACGAACATGGTAAATATGACAAAGGAAATAAAATATTGAAAACTATTGTTGAAAGCCTTCCAAAACTGACTTCTTTGGATATTTCTGGAACTAATTTGGCTGGAAGAGGAGTTGCTGAAACAATGAATGGATATGTTTCTGATATACCTGGCTTAAGTTCAAGAGTCAATAATCCATTTCAATATTTGGGACTGTACGAAACTTCTCATGATGCTTGTTTGAGACATGACATACCTGCAAAACTGGTGAGGCTATAACATACAGTGCAATAGTAGAATAAAAATTACCTCTCCTGAATTTTTGAATGGGATGAGATTTCAAGGTCAGATGAAGTTTATCTAAAAAGACCTGAAATTTATTATTTTTTAATGGAAAACAATAGTTTGGCCTTCGCTGAGTGAGCACACTCAACTTTTTTTTATTAGAAAAGGGATCATTGGGAATTACCTGGGAGGTAACTCACGCACATTCGATGGAAACTCATTAAAGCTTGTGAACGAAGATCATACAATCCCTTATTTTTACTTTTTATCATCAAAGGGAATTATTTCTACCTCTTGTATTATAATTGCAAAATTCATTGTTGAATATGAGTTCATTATTAATTTTGAGACATTGTTGTAACTCGAATAGGTATTTGATTGAGTGTAGTTCAGATTGTGAAAAGAGATCAGCGGTGAGTATACATTTGAAATGACATTTCAAATATGATTTTTATTGATTTATTAAAGTAAGATAAGCCACAGTGATCACATATACATAAAAGCTACCTAAAATTAGAGCATTGTAAACCTTGACTATTTCCAACACCTATAGAGGGCTCCTTACTTGCTATATTTTTTTCATTGACAAGCTCTATATGACCAGACCAATTTACCGTATCATCTATTTTCAGTCCCAAATATTTCATTTGTGTGATGTTTGTTTTGTGGGCAGATTATGTTATTTATCATTTGCAGATTCTTAAGAAGACTATAAAACTATTTTTATAACGGCTGTTCCAATTTCGAAAAATAAACTGGTATTGAATATAGAATCAAAAAGACCTGTCAGACAGACATCACAAGACCTCTTTATTTGTTAAAAGTTGCAAAAATGTTCTCGGCAGCGAACGACTCACTATTGTTTTTGCGTCAGAATGTATTAGAAATGAATTCTTTTCATGTACATTTTGTCAAACATTGATACCTAGCTCTATTATTAAATTATCAGAGGGAGTGGGTGATTTTTTACATTCTCAATGATGAAAATAGATGAAAATATTAATATAACACATTAAACAAATTCATTTTCAGATTGCTGGCAATGCTAATGAGGACCAGATTTTGGTTGCAGCACTTGCATACTTAGATAGAACAGACATGTTACAAAAAGTTATGAATGAGCTTTTTCATTTATTTAGATTTGAAAATATTGTCCATGTAGGCCAGGCTCTTAATGTTGTTCTGGAAGCTATGGGAAGACATTTACATGAAAGACATATTCAAATATCTGGAAGGTATTGTAATCCTAACCTCTATTATAATAGCTAACTACTAATGGTGATTACCAGATGTATTCTTGATATTGATAGTAACGAATTCTCCCTCATTCTTAAAATGAGTAAGTGTAGAGGAAAAAGGAAATCAAATGAAAATCTTGCCAAACTTCATGCTATCTTTTGAATCCATTGAAATGCATATATAGCTTGTCAAATGTAGGAAGACCTTTCTGAGTTCCGTTATGGTCCCGCCCACTATATGTGCGTTCGTTAGAAGACTATAAGAGTGAAAGAGAGAGAGAGAATTCTCAAGTCTCTTCCTAGATTTGACAAGCTGTAATTTGTAATAGCACATAACCTGTTTTTTATGTTTTTTTTGAGTGATATGAATGACTTCTGTTTTTAATGGTCGTTCTCCTAAGAAATTTACACCAAATTATACATTTCGAAGAGTCTGTTAATTAAAATCATTCAAATTATATGTAACGATTTATAAAAATAGGATGGCGACTTCACAAATGTTCAATACTGAAAATAATTCTTCATAGTGGTTTTATATGTATTAATAATTTGAATTACGGTGACTTTTACTACATATTGAAACTAGAGACCAGAAACAAAGCATTTGTGATCCATCACCATTCAGCGTAGTTTTGACTTATCATTGGTCTGCTCACTGGTGCTAGACTGAATCACAACCGTACAACTATATATACACACCTTAATATACATTTAGAGTACAAATCATATTAAAATAGCTCAAATACAAAGTAAAGATATATCTGCACAAATATAGACATACGTTTAACAATTTTATACGAACACATACAATACATACAGATACTGAAGAGAGATATTACACATTAAAGAAACAATACCAGAAAAGTTTAAAATATCAAAAACGCACGATACAATACTTTGTCTATACAGTGAAACACGTCAAATTTAAATTATAATTTGACATACTTCAACGGAAAAATGCTACCTCTACCTTCAACCCCCGTCGAATGACAGGTAAAACCCCCAATTTTTCAAATGAGAAGTATTGGCTTGTGATATATCGATTGAAAGGTCTCTTCATTCTATATTCAAAAATGTTATCGCTTCCAAGTTTATTGCAACAATTAAGATAAAATAAATTAAAATCATGTGGTTACCGAAATTCGATAAAATACGTATAATGTTATGAAGGTGAGTGAAGAATAAATCACCATGGGCACAAATGTTGAGATCTTGATAATAAGAAAGTAAGAAAACCCATAGCAATGTTCATTTTACATGGTATCCTTTAAAAAACTAAATAATTTCCTTGGCAACGTTACTTTAAAACGCCTTGTCAACTTGTTTTTTATGTTACAACATTAGTTGTCAGTATTTTAATTTGAATTTAAAGTTCGTTAACTTCAAGTCTAACGAATGGTTAGATTAACGGAAATACATAAATTAACAGTTTTACAAATGATTGGTTACGGAGATAAAACCCGAACACAACAGGAAGTAGACAGGCATCCACTACATTCAATTTTAGTCATACATCAATAGTAAACATATCAAAAGAAAATAAAATGCATCCATATAAAATGATATCTACTCAGGAGCTCATGGAAGACGATTTTGATAGAAGAACTTATTTTTATGAGCAAATGATGGACATGTCAGATAACAATATCATCCAATTAGAAAATGTTATGTTTTCTGATGAGTGTACTATGTCTCTTAACGGTTATGCTAATCGGCAAAATTGCCGCTACTGGTTAACGGAAAATTCTCACTGGATGAGAGAAGAACACACACAATACCCTCAAAAGGTTAAAGTTTGGGCAAGGATTGTAGGAAACCATATCATTGGTCCCTTTTTCATTGAGGGCAACTTGAATGGCAATAATTATTTGGCACTACTTCAAAATTATGTCATTTCAAGTTTAGCAAATTCATATCTTGAATTAGGAAACCTTCAAGTTCCAGTGAATACGATATGGTTTCAGCAGGATGGAGCATCACCACATTACCAAGTTAATGTCCGGCAATACCTCGATACATTTACCAATCGGTGGATAGGGAGGTGAGGATCCATTGAATGGCCAGCATGATCATCTGATTTTTCATCATTAGATTTCCTTTTATGGGGATATGTAAAGAGCAATGTGTACAAAACTAAACCTTCAGATTTGAATGACTTAAAAGAACGAATACTGCTTGCGATTAGGTTGCGATTAACATTTTTGAAAAATGAATGAAGATACCTTTCATACGATATATCACAAACCTATACTTTCCATTAAAAAATTGGGGGTTGTCCCTATCATTCGAAGGGGGTTGAAGGTAGTGGTGGCATTTTTACTTTAAATAATGTCAAATTATAATTTACATTCGACGTGTTTCGTTTTTTTTTTTTAATATGTACAGTAACCGAAATAATGAATTTATTCCATTTGGTTTTTAGACACTGTACATTAAAAATACAGATGATGAAATAAATTAGAGAAAACTATTCTCATAGAAGTAACTCTTATAAACTATAATAGGGTCTACCCATAGACCTACGTAGTATTTCTTTGTCCATGGATCTACTACATAATAAATGTTTTACTGATTTCCGAAATTTACAGTTGTCCTTTAAAATTTTAAACATCTTAAAATGGATCATAAATGTAACAGTTTTGGTCTCTGGTATCACCTATTGTCCTATTGTTATCAAACAGAGAGTAAGTAATTATCATTGTTTTAATTTCAAAACAAATTTTTTTTTCAGTGCTACATTATTTTACATTGTGAAAAGTACTGAGAGAGAATTGCATAATGATGTTAATGTCAAACGTAAAATCATAACAACACTGTTGAATGGTATGAGTGCTCATAGAAGAGATGACACAATGATGAGAAATGGATGTTTAACCCTGTGTCAGTTCAAGATACCTGTAGATGTTGTGAGTTATGTTTAATCGCTTTTTAAAATTATTTACAATGTTTATTATTTGAGTTGACTAGTATTCAGATTTATAATTGAATCATTACTATATCTTCCTTCAACTATTTGAACAGCAATAGTTTTTTTGATGTTTTGGTGGGTTTTATGTATCTCAAGTAAGTAACTAAATTTACACCGATTTTTCAAAAGCATTTGACATCGTGAATCATAAAGTTTTTTGTGAAAAGTTAGAGGCAATTGGCTTTTTTTGGAGTTTGTTGAACTGTTCTCAAGTTATCTTTGTGATAGATCAGAGTTTGTGAAAATTAAAGGATTTATTTCTCATGAGATATCTGTTACCTCAGGAGTACCTCAAGGCAGTCACTTGGGACCTTTTCTCTTTATTATTCTCATAAATGATATCAAAGAAAAAATTACTCATTTTGAAATACTGATGTTTGCTGACGATCTAAAAATGTTCAGGGCAATAGATTCATTGCAGGATTGTGTGAAAATTAATATGGACCTTAAATCTTTCTCATATTGGTGTAAGGTGAATAACATGTATGTCAATGTGTCAAAATGTAAAATTATTTCCTTTTCAAAGTCATTCAACCTTTATTCGGCTGGTTATAGTATTGAAGGGAAGAAGTTGGAATGTGTACAATCTATATAAGATCTGGGTGTTATGATGGATGTCAAGATGGACTTTCATTTACAGTATGAATACATATCTAACAAAGCGATTCATATGCAGATCAACTAAAGATTTCATCAACATTTCTTCTATTAAAATACTGTACTTTGCATTGGTAAGATCAGTTATTGAGTATTGCACTTGTATCTGGTCTCCAACTTACTTCAACCACAGTTATGATATTGAGAAAGTTCAGAACAAATTTCTTAGATATGTTGCCTTCAAAATGAACATGCCATCTAGAATTCACTCTGAAATTCGCTCTACTATTGGCTTGCTCAAACTGAGTACAAGACGGGCACATGTAGATATAATATTTCTCCATAAATTGTTGAACAACGTAATAAATTGCCCAATTTTTCTCTGTCAAGTCAATCTGCATATTCCCCAGAGGAGGACAAGTAACAACCAAACTTTCAATCTCGACTTTCATAAGTGTCTAGAATTTTATCAAATGCCAATGAGACCAACATTATTTATTTCACATCTCTCAGAGCACTTTTAGATATACTCTACATGATATACAGACTATTTTTAATCACAATTCATTTTAATTTTCTCTATATAGGTTAATTTATTAGATATATAGACGGTAGAATAGTTAACTTTCTAAGGTAAATATATTGTATAAAAATTGGGAGTTACCTCTTGAATGAATCAATAAATGAATGTTTTTATTCAGATGAATTGATTGAATCAAATAAAAATTGGAATAGAATTTTTTGATTGATCAAAACGAATAGAAGTGAAAGCAGACAAAAACATTGTGAAATTTATTGATTGAAATACTGGAAAACGCCCTTCGATGTTTTGGAAAGTATATCCTCCCTTAATAAACACAATAAGGAGTTAACAAGTTTCTGCCTAGGTAACCTATATTTATATTAGGTTGTCTCAAAAGTTTCGTCCGTTTTTGAGTCTACTTCAAATTGTAATATCTCAGTGAATACTTATTCAATTTAATCAAAATGAGCGCCATTTGAATCAGTGTACTTTTGCCAACGTAACAAAAGTCGATTATTTGAAGGTGGTTGACAATGTTTCGTGTTGCATTTCATTAGTTCGGACTTCCATTGTCTAATATGATATAAATTGATTTGAAAACTTGAATTTTCTCCTAAACCAGTGTTCCTTCTTGTGGATGATTTCAGCTTGAGACCACTTAATGTTATGTTGATGAGTCCAAACATACTCTGCCATTTCTGATTCGCTGGTTTCTCCTCTGGGCATAAAACTGTTTAATGCTTTGCCACAATAATTCAAAGATGACAATATGTCTTGTGCATCATTCAAAACTAAGATCCGTAAATATTTAACGCAGCACTGTTTTTAATCCGTAGATGACTATCTGGATCATGCAGTTTCATGTGCATGTGAGTAGGTAATCCTTCTTCATCATTAGGATTACTATCCTGTTCTTTGGGTTTAACATGTTCATACTTCTTGTCTTTAATTATGATATGTACCTTGTTACTTGTATGTTTATCATGTGAAGCTTTCCACTATTTTATTTTATTTATCTTATGTGATCTATGTCACTATCTGGACGAATGTGTAGATGTCTAATTGTTTACATGAAATAAATATTTCTATTTCTATAGAGTTCCATCAAGTAGCCAAAATTTGAGTGACTATTTTTTCAGCTTTTTGATTATGAACGGCTCGTCAACATACTTTTGCATTCTGTAGATGGAATGGCCCAGGAAAGTTTTGTACAAAGGATTGGAATATACTTACTGAATTCCTTGGCTTGTCAAGTAGACGGAACTCAAAAAGTGAAGCTCGGTGAACTGGGAGCTATAGATGTGAGACCTCCTTAATTAACTCAAATTTAACATGATTTAGTTATTCTTTTAATTTTCGTAGAAAATGATATGGCTAATAAAAGAAAGACTGGAGAGAGGAATCTGCGATGACGTTCTAGAAGTAGCCTGGTCTACCATGTGGAATGTTACTGATGAAACACCCGAGAATTGCAGAAAATTTCTGAAATTGGAAGGAATGCAGCATTTTTTGTTATGTCTTGAGGTGGGTTGGTAAAGTTTACACCAAAGTATCTTAACGCCTTTTTTTTTCTCTGCAGAAATTTCCTGATAAAGAAGAACTGCTTCGCAACATGATGGGATTGTTAGGAAACGTAGCCGAAGTAAAAGAGCTCAGGCACTATTTGATAACTCCAGAGTACTTATCAGTGTTTTCCAGACTGCTAGATTCTAGAAGCGATGGAATTGAAGTTAGTTATAATGCAGCCGGAGTAATTTCGCATATTGCTTCTGATGGCCCTGAAGTATGGAATGTAACAGAACCTTCTAGAGCGTATGTTCTGAAAAAAATGGTGTCAGCGATAGATCGATGGAATATTAATTCTCAAAGAAACATAAACTACCGGTCATTTGAACCAATTCTGTATCTGGTGCAAGTTTATCACACGCCGGAATGTCAACAATGGGCAGTGTGGGCTCTAGCGAACTTAACAAGAGTTTATCGTAAGTGATGTTTGAATAGAATAGAATTGATTTTATTTGCCATTAAAAAGTTCAGACACATAAAATTTCATCAGACTAGTCAGAACCCAAGTACTAGTACCCAAGTACTATGCTAAATATAAAACATAAATGAAGACAAATGTTGCATACATTTCGAAACATTAAAAATATAATTCATTATTTTCATTAACATTCATTGGGAGTTTAATAACTCCTTCATAGATTAAAATGCAGGTAGCTGTATAGAGTTGCATATTTTATATTGCAGTCCAGCTATGCACCATATAACTTTTTTGAAAGTAAGGCGATTACATCTTCTCTTACGAAGACGCCATCTATGAGATCGACAGATCTTCAAACATTGAAGATAAACGAGGCTCCGCAAGGTGTTCGGTTACAAAGCAAAGCTTTGCCATCGACAACGATGAGATTCGTCCTCATTTATCTTTGGTATTTGAGGATTGAGTTCTATTTCGATTCCATAGATAGTATCTCAGTAAGAGGGATGTCGTTGACCATACTTACTCACGCTTGTTTTTAAGGACAGTTAGGTCTAGCAACGCAATTGTTGGTCAGCCTAGCACCACTGATGAGAGCTATGGTAGGTCGAAACAGCGCTGTCAGGCGTTGAATCAAAATTTGGGCTCTGGTTTTCAACTAGTTGCCTTGCAGTGAAAGCTGCAGTTAAAGATATATAACGAATTTTGTCGGCGGTTAATGTCGAAGCTTGACTTGGCAACTGGCTGCCTTGGGGAGCCTCGTTTATCTTTGATATTCGAGGATTGAGTTCTGTGTTGATCCTATAGATGGCGTCTTCGTAAGGGAAGATGTCTCCGTACAGCCTGTCAAATGTAGAAAAGGCGAATTTTCATTTCTCTCAAAAAAATATTTATTTATTCATCAATTTCTATTTTGTCCCCTTCAAAGTAGTTTGTGCCAGCGTTTTTTCCAATCCACAAAGCAATTCTAATATGCAATTTTTGGTATGTCCTGAGCTCTCTCAGCGATTCGGTTTTTATTTCCTCAATCGTCGCAAAACGCTGTCCTTTTATGGGTCTCTTCAATCTTGGAACAGGAAAAAGTCGCTAAGGGCAAATCTAGTGAAAACGGTGGCTGATGTATGATTACGGTGTTGTTTTTGGCCAAAAAATTACAAACAAGCAATGACTAATGAGCAGGTGTATTATCGAGATTCAAAAGCCATGAATTCTTTTTCCACAATACCGGACGTTTTCCCCATATTGCTTCTCGTAAGCGGCGCATAACTTTCATTGGGATGATTGGACTTTGGTTTTGAAGTCATAACTATTTACCCATAATTCGTCACCAGTTATGACTCTTTAAAGCAATGTTTTTGAGCACATAATTCCATTTTTCACACAAAATTTGATGTCGCCATGTTTGTTTTTTCTGTACCTTCACGTTGACGAAATGGCCGTCTCACTCATATAAACACAAACTGCCGTTCGATTAACAGAAATGTCAATAAGAAATGACATTTTAATAACGCTGTCTTTTCTTTGAGAGGTATAATGCTCACTTCAAATACTCTTGAGATTTATAATCTGTTAATATTTTCAGACAATGAAAGGATAAAGGTTAATTTTTCCAACAATTTTAGAACTACTTTTTTTCAAAATTAACATATCTTTTGATTTTTTAGCTGAGAAGTATTGTACTTTAGTAGAAAAAGAAGGCGGTCTGAGATTGCTTCAGGAATTATTACTTCAGAGAGCTCCTTCTTTCAGACTAAGAGAGTTGGCTGCTATTGTTTTACAAAACTGCAGAACATACCAGCAAGACAACTGGCGAGTTATTGTGGAGGCACTGGAAGGATGAGTTTTTTGTAATCTAATTTATCAATAACTGCTGAAATACTCATCAGAGCAATGTAAAATTCATTTGTGATTATATTTTTTCACACAAATACTGACATACCAGCATGGTTTATGCGGACTGTTATTTTTTATTTAATTGTAAATAATAATTTACAGACTTTATTTGTAACTGTACCTATTTTGTCTTATTTTCTTTTGAATAGAGTAATTTGTGATTTTTATTTATGCAATAAAGATATATTTATTACTAATCCCGAGTTTAAAGCTTTCGGTTAAAAGTTGTTAAGTACCTTACAAATATTTATTAAAGTGCTATATTGAATATTGTTGTACAATTATTGTGATTAATGGGAAAAATGTCGCTAATAATATCTAATGTGTCTAGGCTAGGGGTAAATCAGATTTACTTGAAGAATAAAAATGAGTAGGATACGCTATTGATAGTAATTATAGAATATCCACAATAAATTTCGGTAGCTTCATCAGTTTTTGGTGAAGCTACTGTGTAGCGAACCGAGTTTTAAATGAAGTTTATTGTGAAAATTTTATAATTGTTAAAATGGATAGCGTTATTAATTTTCATCAAGTAACGGGTCGAAGTATTCATAAATAGAATACTGGTTGTCCGACGCTGCAATGTAAGTCTATCATAGAATATCACAACATTCTACTGAAATTGGAAGTGGCGTGACAAATTCAAAGTTATCAAAGCATTGAAACCCAACGATCTTGTATAAAAACTTTAAATATGTTTTGTTCTTCCGAATGGGGTGTTCAAAATCACTTTATTTTGAGATTTTCAATAAATAATTTTACAAGCACGCGACACGTGTTTCGCATTACAATGGCTTCTTGATGATTATGGAAATGAAACCAGTTTTTCTACCACCTACTAGATTTTTATTTATGTATGGCTTTATAATAAAGCGCGTGGTTTACGGGGTTAAAATTAAATTATTCCAAATTAAGTAATTCATAACAATGATAAATGTTAATTTAATTTTAATCCACTAAAACACGCGCTTTATTATTAAGCCATACATGAATAAAAATCTAGTAGGTGGTAGAAAAACTGGCCCCATTTCCATAATCATTAATGATAAATCAGATTTACTGTAGGAACAATTTGAACTGAATACATTTTCACCTGAAATTATTTATTTTATAAATATATAATATCCCTCCGGTTATCAACTAAACTGACCGCCACTGTTTTATGGTCCAACTTACTTCCCGTAAACGAACTAAGTTATGCTGCCTTCAATGTAAGGATGGAAAAGGCCTCTCTATTGTCTTGTTATTCTGAGGATTTTGGGCTTCTGACTTTTTTGTTCTGCGTTTGCTCTATGTTTGATTCCTGTCCACGTTTCATGTTTTTTTACAGGTTGCCAATTTTCGTTTAATGCTCTGGAAATTATTTTTACAAAACGTTGATACAGTATTATCTGTGACTTTAACAAGTCCATTCAAATAAAATAAATGCAACATATCAACAATTTATTATTTTAAAACTTGTGTCAGCGTTTTGCACTTATGAGTGCTTTGCCAAATCATATAAAGTTTACCCACCATCCCCGTAATATATTCTGAACTCCAGGGTCGCTCGGGTTAATCAAGGCAAGATTAATCCGAATTTGTGATATCTGACAGCAAATATTTATTGACGTGAGGAATTTTAACTCTTGAGTAAATAACTTCAGAAAATTTCGGGAATTTTTTATGGTTTTTTCAACATGGCAACACTGTTTTTCAGTACATCATATTGTTTGGTTATGGTTGCTGGTTACTGAAATTAAAAAATGTAAATTTGAAATTGAGTAAATATTGATACCTCTAACATTAAACGAATAGGGAATGGCCAAAAATGCAGAAATATTCATTTGTTTAATAGTGGTCATTTCAATAATAATTCTATACGTTTTGAACAAATGCATTTTGAATACAGACTTAGTACAGAACCCACCTGAAGACTACAGTTGGATTATACACGGATTTCGAAATGCATTGGGTTATGCTACTCTATTTCTACCAGGCTGTTTAGTGTACAAATATATACAGAAAACTAATTACATAAGTAAAAGTGGCAGAGGACTAATTGGAGCCCTAATAAGAACGTGTTTCGGAGAAGATGAGCTGTTGCTCGTCAGTACAAGTGCACATGCAATTCCAGTAGAAAGGACGGCTCTTCAAGATGGATTCTTACTCACATTTTATTTTTTTGGACTTCAGATATCCTATCTTTCCTGGGGAATATTGCAGGAAAAGGTTATGACCCAGGCCTATGAAAATTCAACTAAAGACACAGGCTATTTCAAAGATTCACAGTTTTTAGTTTTTATTAATCGGATATTGGCTTTTCTTTTGTCTGCTGTAATATTATTCTGTAGGAGACAACCTAGACACAGATGTCCACTATACAAATATATTTTTTGTTCCTTCTCAAATATTATGAGTTCTTGGTGTCAGTATGAAGCTCTCAAATATGTATCTTTTCCTCACCAAGTTCTTGCAAAAGCTAGTAAAACTATTCCAGTTATGATAATGGGAAAAATTATCTCGAGAACAAAATATGAATATTATGAATATGTGACTGCTGTGATGCTTTCAGTGGGAATGCTGTTTTTCATGGTTGACACCGGTAACGATCGCTCAAAATCAACGATAACTACATTTTCAGGAGTTTTACTCCTCTGTTCCTATATCTCTTTTGATAGTTTCACATCAAATTGGCAGGGAAGTTTGTTCAAACAATATGAAGTGAAACCTTTGCAAATGATGTGCTTTGTCAATCTGTTTTCTTGCATTTTCACAGCCGTATCACTTATTCAACAGGGAGGTTTTATGCAAAGCTTTACGTTTATGATAAATTTTCCTAGCTTCATAGTAGATGTTGTGTTACTTTCTCTTTGTAGCGCAGTTGGACAATTGTTCATATTCAACACTGTATCTACATTTGGACCCCTCGTTTTTGTAATAATTAGCACAATAAGGCAAGGGTTTTCTGTTTTATTGAGCTGCATCATATACCACCATAAGGTAAATGCTGTAGGTATATTTGGTCTTATACTAGTATTTTTGAGTATACTTTTAAGAGTATATTGTAGTTATAGACTTAAATCATTGAAACAGCTCAACACTTCCAACATTAAAAATCAACAATGCTAATCCTATTTTGTCATATTTTTATTATTGGTCATATTATGAAAAATTGAAATATATACATATATATTGACAATTATAGTTTTTCATTACACCATTTATCACCTTTGAAAAATGTACAAACTTTTATTTGTATTATTTTAAGAAAGAAGACACTCAAGGAATATTATCTCTTTTCTTGTAATGATAAAAATGAAAGCTTCATACTCACTTTGAAAAACCAGACAACGGAAATAGTTAGATCATTGTTACTTTGGAAAATGGCAAACTTGTAATTAGAAGAACAGTACATTTATTTTATTCAAAGAAAGGAATTTCGGGCCCTTGACATAAAATGGGAGCCTTGAGAAAAGACCAAGTATGTCATCTCCAATGATAAGCAGAAATAAATTGTCGAAAACTTAAAAGGAATTACATTTCAGCTGGAAAAACAGAAAATTGCTCTGAATCGAGAGTGATGAATATATTTGCTGAATGAGACATTACTTGAGGCAGATAAGAAAGTTTTGAATTGAGAATAGAAATATTTATTATCTGGACAAAACTTGATGAAGAATATATCATTGGAGAGATGTGGCAAAACAAAAACATTACAAGCCCACTTCAAGCATTTTAAGAAGGCTAGTCAACCGGAGAAGGAGACTTTATTCTGGAAAAGGAAAGCTTCTGATTGTTACCAGTAATTGTCATGGATAATGCTAGTTATTCCAGAAAAAAAAATTAATGGGAAATATGTCGGAGAAAGTAAATATTATTATTTTGCATCTGCGAACTCAATCCCATTGAAATAGTTTGAGCTCAAAAAGAGGGTTTCGTTGTAAAGAAGCACGATATCTGAAATGAAAGATCTGTTTAAAAAAATCTGTTTTTCCGTTAACCAGCTATCGCACCCCTACGAACGACAAACCTCAGAAGTCTAAACTTGTGCGAGCTAAAGAGTAACGAATTAACGAGGTCTTATCTTTTAACGTGTGATTCCTGATAGCAAGTGACAATCGATCGTTCAGACTAGGGCTTGAACCACCGACCAACACGGCAGTCAATTCGAGTGAGTGAACTAAGCACCCGCGTCAAACCGCCTGGCCACCGACCGAAGATGTCTAAATACTTTTTTAAGGGGTCCTTAAAAAAACGTTGATTCCGAAAAATGGCGAAAATTATATAAAAGAAGAGGATAACATGTGGAAATAAGATGATTCAGTTGAGAAAACTGTAGAAAATAGTTTAGTGAAAATCTCACAATAAAATGTATTTTTAATACGCAATGGATTTTCAAGTATCGGCCAATTCTATCATATATAAAATTCTGAAGAATTTCACCATTAGTGAATTTTAAAAATAAAGGCAATTTTCACTTCATTGAGAGATCAAGTTATTCGGAGTAGTAACCATTTTTTCGTTTTCATTAGTTGGTCTACTTATATCGGATGCACAAATTGATGACGTATTATGACCTATCTTATATATTATCTGTTGTAATGTCATTTTATGAGGTGGAAAAAATGCTAGTAACAAATTTCGATTGAAAATAGATAGATGCATTCTGTAGTCAATAAATAGGTATTTATAATTACCTATTTGCATTTATGATTTCGGCGCCCGGTGCTCGCTTCATCTTAGGGCCGCCGCTGAATGTTTTCATTATCATGTTATAAAAATCAATGTTATTAACGTAGATAAAATGTCAATATGGAATTCATTCCTTTTATTTTCAAATATTTTGTCGGTTGGTCGAAAAATCCCAGTTTTATATATAAACCAAATTCTGCATTTTTAACAAATACACTTAACGTGAACGTGTAGAAAAATTGTATTTGTTGTTGTTTCATAATTTCATGATTTGTATTACTTTCATCCTTGGAATTATATAGACAAATTTCAATACTATCATAAACTACCTACACCTTACGATTCTATCTTCACACACTTTATTATCAAAAAATATATCACGTGTCGCTATCGTAGTGCTATAAAAAAGCTACTGTGATAGCGAAACGTGATATTTTTTTTTAAATAAAGTTTGTGAAGTTTTTTTCGTAGTGCTACGAAAAAGCTACTGTGATAGCGAAACATGTCGTGTCGTGATATATTTTTTTAAAATAAAGTTTGTGGAGATCAAATTGTAAGATGTGGTTTATGAAATTACTATGGATCTTCATCAAGTAACGGTCGAATCAACCAGAAAAAAAATGAATATCATCATGAATAGTTTTGGAAAGTTTCATTCATGGATATGCACACACACTAAAATAATATCCTTAAGGCACTGGAAATTAATTTTTACATTCAAATCCTTGAATATTCTTGAAAATGATAATGTAATGAATCTGAAGCTGGCCCTGACCGTTATCTCAGACACCAAACACAGGGCCCCCGTAAGGGCTACTGGCGCCTGTGTGCAAAAAAGAATTTTGGCGCCCCTTAAGGCATTTTGGATCATGTTTTTTTATTTATTTGTTTGAAGGTAGGTAGGTGCTTACAATAAAGCAAAAAACTGAACTTTAGAAGTCATATTTATTTGTTGACTAAAATATCAAAATGAAACAAACAGAATAAAATCATAACAAAATAAAGTGAAATAAATTCTTGTTCACACTCATTTTAAAGCATTTACTTTACTGATAGGGTACAGACACGTTGTTTATAAATACTAAAAAATAACCCGAAACTAAAAATTACATCTTTTTTACGAACAAATAACAGAAATATTGCCTAATGTCTACATAATGTCTAGATATTTTAAAAAATATGCAATATGCAGATACTTCTGATAAAAAATACTAATTTTTGACCCTAGATTTTGGCGCCATCCTTTAGGGGCGCCAAAGCACCCCTAAAGGGGTGCCCCTAAAGGATGTCGCCCGTGTGCATTGCACACTTTGCACATATGGTAGCGGGGGCCCTGACCAAACATATGACTTACCGCGAAAGGAATGCGATCGACTAATCGCCACGAAAAGAATAGATGAGTACCGAAACCTCTAGAGGTATCTAGAACGTTCGTTACCAATATAAAAGGTCGGGTCCTCGCCTGAAGCCGACATAGCTCGGCTTCAAACTTTTGTTGCATATCCTGCTACACCTGAAAATGTAATGGGGCGGTTAGTAGTTCAGGCATTCTTGGATGGACTTCTCGACCAAGAAACGAGGCAGGCCTTGACGCTAGCTCATCCCAAACATCTCGTGGATGCACTGGCAAGGAGTTTTAGGCTGCAAAACAATCCTGCAAGAGCCAGGGCAAAGTTCGAGCTATCGAGGAAGATGGACAAGTGCCTGCTGATATTGAGGCCACTATCAGGAAAGTAATGAAAGAAGCGTTGCCTAAGAGGAAACAAATAAGATGCTGGAACTGTGGGAAAATTGTACATGTGCGTAGCAAATGTCCAGTTTTCAAAGAATCGACACCAAATCAGGAAAACTAGAGGGGGTAGATGAGAAGCCCCCGTAAAAAACGCACATGTTGCCGTTCTCCAACGACAAGACAAACGTGTATTCGTAGACGGCCTCATCAACAACGAGTCTTGCACCATGCTGCTAGACACAGGTGCGACGAGAACCATTCTTGGGCCAACCTTTGCCAAAACACCGGCAATAATTGAACCGTCAAGTTGGAAGCTACGCACCGCAACAGGGGAGCCAGCCACTGTACTTGGAGAACTACCAATTGAATTGGTGTTGGACAGCACAAAATTGAAACATCGTGCATTGGTGGCGGACATCGAGGACGATGCAATCATTGGAATGGACATAATGAATTCCAGAGGGTTCGAGCTGAATTTCCAAGACGGCGTCCTACGTGTCGGCGGAGAAGAACTGGTGCTTCATGGAAGAAGCGAAGAGACGATCAGGGTCTGAAACCATCCTTGAGCCTCGCTCTTGGACGGAAGTGCGAGCAGCGGCAAGGTGGTAACGTTCGAGCCCAAGATACACGATGAGAAAATTGGACGAGGAATCGCACTGGGGAAGACCCTGTTGCATGTTGATAAAGACACGCTAGCCGGCTCCCTATTTTTCTCGACTTTGGATTTGAAGAGTGGATATTGGCAAGTTGAATTGACCCCAGAAGATGGAGAACAGACAGATTTCACCATTGGCTCAGGATTGTGGCAGTTCACGGTTATGCCATTCGGGCTTTGTAATGCTCCAGCGACCTTCGAGAGATTGATGGAGACGGTTCTCAAGGGGCTCTCATGGAAGACATGTCTAGTGTATATCGACGATATAATCGTGGTCGGAAAATCGTTCGACGATCACTGGAGGAAATTTGGAGGAGGTGTTCATGCATCTGGATTGAAACTTAGTCCCAAGAAATGGTATCTGTTCCAGAAAGAAGTCCGTTACCTTGGCCACGTTGTCTTTGGGGATGGAGTGGCGGTAGACGAACAAAAGATCAAAGCAGTCAAGGATCGGCCCATTCTAAAAGACATACATCAGCTTCGGAGCTTCCTTGGTTTATGCACCTACTGGTGCAGAAAATGTGCTGTATGTGCTGCCAGTAACGGACCTCGGATAGGAACAGAAGCTCCAATGCGCCAGTATTACGTGGGTAGTCCATTTGAGATAATCGCCATCGACATCGCAGAAAATGTACTGTATGTGCTGCCAGTAACGGACCTCGGATACGACCGAAAGCTCCAATGCGCCAGTATAACGTGGGTAGTCCATTTGAGAGAATCACCATCGACATCGCCGGCCCGTTTCCAGAGTCCGACCATGGGAACAAGTCCGACCATGGGAACAAATACATCCTAGTAGCCATGGACTACTTAAGCAAGTGGGCAGAAGCCTATGCCCTGCCCAACAAGGAAGCCTTTACCGTCGCTGACGTCCTGGTAAAGGAATGGATACGTCGATTCGGTGTCCCATTGGAGCTGCATTCGGACCAGGACAGAAATGTTGAGTCCAACCTGTTCCAAGAAATATAAAACTGTTGGGCATTCGAAAGATCGAAACCACAGCCTTACATCCACAGTCCGATGGAATGGTGGAACGAATGAATGAGACCATAAAGCGCCACTTGTTCAAGGTAGTTTCTGACCATCAATGAATTGAACCGTCAAGCTGGAAGTTACGCACCGCAACAGGAGGTGAGCCACTGTACTTAGAGAACTACCAAATGAATTGGTGTTGGGCAGCATAAAATTGAAACATCGTGCATTGGTGGCGGACATCGAGGACGATACAATCATTGGAATGGACATTATGAATTCCAGAGGGTTCGAGCTGAATTTCCAAGACGGCGTCCTACGTGTCGGCGGACAAGAACTGGTGCTTCATGGAAGAAGCGAAGAGACGATCAGGGTCCTGTTGGATGAAGACGTGTGCGTACCTGAAAGGACTGAAACCATCCTTGAGCCTCGCTCTTGGACGGAAGTGCGAGCAGCGGCAAGGTGGTAATATTCGAGCCCAAGATACACGATGAGAAAATTGGACGAGGAATTGCACTGGGGAAGACCCTGTTGCATGTTGATAAAGACACGCTAGCCGGCTCCCTATTTTTCTCGACTTTGGATTTGAAGAGTGGATATTGGCAAGTTGAATTGACCCCAGAAGATGGAGAAAAGACAGATTTCACCATTGGCTCAGAATTGTGGCAGTTCACGGTTATGCCATTCGGGCTTTGTAATGCTCCAGCGACCTTCGAGAGATTGATGGAGACGGTTCTCAAGGGGCTCTCATGGAAGACATGTCTAGTGTATATCGACGATATAATCGTGGTCAGAAAATCGTTCGACGATCACTGGAGGAAATCTGGAGGAGGTGTTCATGCATCTGAGGAGTTCTGGATTGAAACTTAGTCCCAAGAAATGGTATCTGTTCCAGAAAGAAGTCCGTTACCTTGGCCACGTTGTCTTTGGGGAAGGAATGGCGGTAGACGAACAAAAGATCAAAGCAGTCAAGGATTGGCCCATTCTAAAAGACATACATCAGCTTCGGAGCTTCCTTGGTTTATGTACCTACTGGTGCAGAAAATGTGATGTATGTGCTGCCAGTAACGGACCTCGGATACGACCGAAAGCTCCAATGCGCCAGTATAACGTGGGTAGTCCATTTGAAAGAATCACCATCGACATCGCCGGCCCGTTCCCAGAGTCCGACCATGGGAACAAGTCCGACCATGGGAACAAATACATCCTAGTAGCCATGGACTACTTTAGCAAGTGGGCAGAAGCCTATGCCCTGCCCAACCAGGAAGTCTTTACCGTCGCTGACGTCCTGGTAAAGGAATGGATATGTCGATTCGGTGTCCCATTGGAGCTGCATTCAGACCAGGGCAGAAATTTTGAGTCCAACCTGTTCCAAGAAATATAAAACTGTTGGGCATTCGAAAGATCGAAACCACAGCCTTACATCCACAGTCCGATGAAATGGTGGAACGAATGAATGAGACCATAAAGCGCCACTTGTTCAAGGTAGTTTCTGACCATCAAAGAGACTGGGGCCAATACCTCCGCCTGTTCTTGCTGGCTTATCGTTCAGCAGTGCACGAGTCAACCGGTTAAACCCCTGTCAGTATTATAATGGGCCGAGAGCTGCGGCTTCCTTGCGACCTGAAGTTTGGGACGCCGCCGCCGCGGGGGAAGACTATGTCAGCAAGCTTCGGCAGAGAATGGACGACATCCATGAATGAGTCCGTCTGAGCATCCGGAGTGCCAGCGATAGAATGAAGAAGGTCTATGATATCAAGGCGAATGCTGTAGAATTCGAAACCGGTGACCTAGTCTGGCGGTACAACTCTAAGCGACGCCGTGGTTTATCACCGAAATTGCGGAACTCGTGGGAAGGTCCGTACAAAATCATGAAAAAGATCAATGACCTCGTCTACCGTATCCATAAGCCACCTCGAGGAAAGCCTAGTGTCGTCCATTTTAATAGATTGGTTCTTTATGCTGGAAATCACGATCAAGTTCGCGCCCTCAGATCATCAGAGGATGGAATGGCGTTCCAGCAATTCATGTCCTTATACTCGAACGGACAGAAGGTCGTACATGGGGTAACTCGAGAAGAGCCACGAGACCTTTTCAAGGTTCCAGTTGATTACGCACTAGCTCACTGCATGGCAGAGGATCTCCAAATGTCCTAGGGTATCGCTGTGGTATTCAACAAGAAATTCGGTCAGCTTCAAACATTACGAGAACAGAATCCAGAAGTCGGAGGAGTGCTACAGTTGAAGAAGGGTCACAGAAACATCTTCTACTTGGTGACCAAAAAGCATTCTCGAGGCAAACCGCCCTATGAAGATGTCTGGAGGAGTCTTACTAGACTGAAGGAGACGATGCTCCACCAGAATCTTGTGGACTTGGCAATTCCGAAATTAGCCTCTGGGCTCGACAGGCTGGACTGGAGAATTGTGAGAAGCATGTTGGAAACGATCTTCAGATCCAGCGGCATCCAGATTTTGGTGTGCGGTAACCATCTTCCACGACCGAACTTCCATCGAACTTCACAGTGCAGATATGGGGAGTCCTGGAGGTATCGATATACACCAAGGATGACATTTCGGGACGAAACATCTTTAAGAAGTGGGAAATGTAATGAATCTGAAGCCGGCTCTGACCGTTATCTCAGACACCAAACATATGACTCACCGCAAAAGGAATGCGATCGACGAATCGCCATGAAAAGAATAGATGAGTACCGAAACCTCTAGAGGTATCTAGAACGTTCGTAACCAATATAAAAGGTCGGGTTCTCGCTCAGACAGGAAGTATCAGTCCAAAGGGTGAGGGAGCCAGGCTCCAAGCTGTCTAAATTTAAGATGACTTCAGAGAGATAGTCTGTATCTAGAAAGCGAATCGAGCGATTAACAAATAGTGAAGATAAATTAAGCGTTTAGTTGCTACGTGGTGTATATAAATCAGTTGTGATAGTAAAGTATTGTTGAAATAAATTTGTTTAAGACAGTTAATTCGTTACAATAATTTCAATAATAAAAAAGTACCTAGGTATACTGTGCTTCTAAATATTTATCGTTTTATGGCATAGTTTCTAACGTCAGCCTTTAATGAACGAAATGGTTTTTATGAATTTCAGAATTGAAATCTACAATATTGAGTGAAGTGAAGTGAAATCTACAATATTTCTGAGAAAATAGTGTTTACTTCTATACGGTGTCAGTGGTAACATAGACTGGTAGTACAAATAACAAACGAACACATATTTTTATTTTTTTCTGCTTTGAGGTTATCTGTACAAATGAAGGTACCAAATTTGAAATGATTTCTCAAATATGTAAGTGTAACTTCATATATGAATAAACAACTTAGTTTACTGAAAACTTTTCGTTTATTTCAGTAAAGTTGATTGTAGTTGGTTTATTATGGGGCGCAACTAACCCAGTGATAAAAAGAAAATCTAAAGACATTCAAAAAGTAAAAGCAGATTCAAAACTGATTCAGTTCATCTTAGAACTAAAATATTTAGCTACTAATATTCAAGTAAGTATAGGAATCATATTGAAGAATATGAATAGTTTATTTGTTGAGAGAAGGCATTTTTTTTCAAGAAATTGACCAGTACTACTCTATCCAATTTTAGTATTTGATACCAATGGCTTTCAATCAGTTGGGATCAGTGCTAGTTCTAGATACCTCTAGAGGTTTCGGTACTCATCTATTCTTTTCATGGCGATTCGTCGATCGCATTCCTTTTGCGGTGAGTCATATGTTTGGTGTCTGAGATAACGGTCAGAGCCGGCTTCAGATTCATTACAAGAGGCTGATTTAACTTTATCGGTACCACTTGCCAACTCTTTAACATTTGTCTTCACAGCAGTTTCGGGGTGGATAATGGGAGAAGAAATTCCAAAAAAAAGTATGTTGCTATTGAATATAACGTTTTTTTCATAACCACGTACCTATGATAAAAATAGTTTTTGGTCTTAGTATATCCACAACAAAAACCTAGATTCTCTCTCTAGTAATGAATCTCATTAGTACTAGAGACTAGTGATTTTCTCAATATTAGAATGTAAGTTGGTAATCTTCTCACGTTTGTCATAATTTCTATTGATAGTGAGGTACTTCTAATTGTATTTGCATTCACGAAGTTTTATTCTAGTAGTTGATTCAAGTTTCAACTGTACATAACATTCCATGTACCAAAATTCCACTGGAGTCAAATAAGACTTATGACTGGGTCGAAGAGAGACACATTTGTAGTAAAAAATAAATATTTCAAATGTACTTGAAACATTGCCATCTTCTACAGGATTTGGAAAATTTCTGCCAGAAAACATGTACTCATCTGGCCCAGTTCCTAGTTAATACCACGACGATAATTGAAAGACATTTATGCAAGTTTCCTCACAGGGCCTTTGTTCACAAGATGAAACTATTATTACCTCCATGTGATTAAAACCGATTCTGTTTCAGACAAAGGTTTTGTACATGTGGTACACTGATGTTTTGGTTAGATCTGGCACTACAAGGAAGGATAGAATAGAATAGAATAGAATATCCTTTATTCGCCATAAAAAATACAGTAGTATTATAAGGTTTTGTCAAATATCATGTACCATAAGAATACCATAAAACACTAAATGAATAAATAAAAAATAAACGAATGAGGAAATGAGATGTGAACAATTTCAATATAAATATCACTGTCTACGTAGATTGTAAATTCAAAATATTAGTTGGTGTTGAAGTCAAATGATAAGAATTCTTTGATACTATAAAAAGCGTTTTCCAGGCAGATATACTTTATATAATTTGTAAACGAGGCTGTATTTAAGTTTTTTATATCTTCTGGTAGTTTAATCAATAAAACAGGACCTTAATTTTTTTTGAAAAATGGTAGTGATTTAGTCTTGTGAATTCAATTTTAATCTGTTGTGATTGTCTTTTAATTTAATGCTTTGTTCGTTTTATTGAATTTTCATATATCGTTTTATTGCTTAATATAATTGATATTTTAGCTATTCGTTCTAATTTCATTTGTTCTTTCATAGATTTCGAGTCATATTAGACAATGGAAGTCCGAACTAGTAAAATTAAAAAATAATGTACTTGAAATATTGTGGTCATGGAAAAAGTATAGGGTTTTTTTTCAACAATCCTTGTCGGACTTTGTCTCAAGTTAGGGAAACTGTATTTACTGAACTTGGTTTTTTAAAAAATTAGTCACAAATTACGAATTGACTTTCTTCTTTTAATGGTAATTATAATTTAGTCTATGAGGGTGATCCCAGAAGTACCCGGCCTGACCTAGAGATGGCGATAGTTGAAAATATAACTGTATCAGAAAGTACACAATCTATAAAGCATATATTTCAAGTTTGAAGACACCGAGTTGTTAAGTATTTGTTTGACAGCCATAAATAGCGAATGTTTTCAGTGAGTTTGTGAAAAAGGAGAAAACTGGTCATCGTTATGTTATGTTGTTTGAAAGGCCTCACTCAGCCCAACCAATATAAAAGCTGAACTAGATTCTACTCTGGGTGAGTCTGCTCCTTCGTTTACAACAGTGAAATATTGGGTAGCACAGTTTAAACGAGGTCGTTCAAGCTGCCAAGACGAGCATCGCAGTGGTAGACTAATTGAGGTGATGACTCCAAAAACGGTGAAGAAAATCCACAAAGCGGTACTTAATGATCGTCGACTGAAAGTGCGCGAGCTATCAGAATTGATAGGCATTTCAAAAAGTGCGGTACACTGCACGGCATCCATCTTGCACTGTGTGCCGCGTTTGCTCACACTCAAGCATAAACATTGTCTTGAAGATGTTTTAGTTGAGTGTTCAGCGAAGTTTCACAGCAACAAAGCAAAATTCTTGCGTCGTTTCATAACCATGGATGAAACATGGGTCCATCACTTTACACCCGAGACAAAAGAACAATGAAAACAGTTGACTCAACAGGGAGAACCGGCCCCAAAGAATGCGAAGACCGTTCAATATGCAGGCATGGTCATGGCATCGGTTTTTTGGGATGCAGGTAGCATGATTTTAAGTGACTATTTCAAAAAAGGTAAAGCTATTAACTGCGCATACTATGTGAACTCTCTGCAAAGTTTGAGTGAAGAAATATGCAAAACGGGCGCATTTTGCAAAAAAAGTGTTGTTTCATCAAGGCAATGCACCAGCACACGAATCCATTACAGCAATGACCAAAATTAATGAATTAAAGTTTGAATTGCTACCTCATGCATCCTATTCGCCAGATGTAGCCTCCTCGGATTATTTTCTGTTCCTATACTTGAAAAAATGGCTTGGTGGTCAAAGACTTCCCAATCAAGAAGAAGTGATGTCGGCAAATAATGGCTATTTTGAGAAGCAAGACAGTTCTTGTTATAAAAACGGTATCAAACTTATTGAATGTCGCTGGGAAAAGTGTATAGAGCTGCAAGGAGATTATGTAAAAATAAATTAATTTTTTTTTGGGTACCTCTGGGATCACCCTTGTATATGTATACTTTTTACATTATAACTCATAATGATACATGACTCTTTCTAGAAAATATACCCAAAAGTTAATCAATCATTCGCTATATTTAGGCAAATAATTTTTTTGTAGGTACGATTTTTGGAGTTTTTCTAGTTATACTGGGCACTTTACTATGTTGTGTGGACAAATATGAAAGAGGGGAGTTGAAAAGTTGAGTTGGGTGTATTAGAAAACCTTATATTACAGTTTGTGAATGAGCTTTTGTGTTTATATTTCCATCAAAGTGTTTATTCTTTAGTTAAGTGTTTATAATTTTCATTTACATTATTCTTGAATTTGGTATCAGAGGGGGAACAAATATAATGAAAAAAAACTGTGTTTATATTTTATTTGTACAATCTATTCCCTAATACATAGTGAACAACACAAATACTAATACTTCCTAATTCGAATAATAAAATTTCGTAAAGCAGGCTAAAATTATTTACAGCAGTAACTACATTGTAACCTAAAAAACTAATAATTCGAATATTATGTCAGATGTGTTATCATAAAAATGTATGGCACATTTTAGTCGAAGTTTTATTCTGTAAATTATTATCACATTTCAATTGTCAACATTTTTCTGGTCCGAACATAACATAACAAGAAAATTCCTTTACCATTATACCTGTACTTCAAATGATTTCCATCTGCTAGAGGTGACAGTGATCAGATCGAATCTAAGTAGAAGTAGTACTAAATGACTAGTAATAAGTTATTTTCAAAAACTAATGTCATGATTCTTTCAAATCAGAGGGTTTCTCTATTCAAGGTTTTCTGAGTTCAGATAGATCATCACGAGAATTTTTGTTATTGCTGTTATTGTACTGCTGATTCAGTAACAGTTGATTTTGTGATGACAATACATCAATTCTAGACCTTAGTTCTTCTATTTCATTAGCGAGTTTATTTATTTGTTGACCCTGTTTAATGGGGTCAAAAATTTGTGCCGTATGATTTGTTCCTGTTGGTCGAATAATTTCATCATTGGACGCTCCTGTACCAATATCTCGTTGCAAGGTTTCGTTACTGTTTTGGTCTGTATTAGTATTTTCTTGCGGTTTCATTGCAATACTTTCATTTTTCACAATGGAAAATGAGTTACTCTCCACTGTAATTTCTGTATTTGTATCAGACTGACTGTTTTTTGGAATATCCAACTGGTTTTGTTGATCATCGGTTTGCTCATTTTGCAAAGCATTTCCAGAATTAGCCGATATAGCTGCAGGCAACAAAGGAGTTGTTTCTGGAACGTATCCAAAGAATGCGGTAGGCTTTGAAGTGGTTGGTTGTTCACTCAGAGGAGGACAGTGAGACACTCCATATATTCTAGTGTGGTTGATTTCCATTATCGACATTATGTCTGGCAACGCAGCATCACAAAGTATGGGGTTATCTAGAAATTGAATTTTACATTGTTAGCTGTTTTTTGTTCTGATTGACCATTACCTTGAAGGTAGATTTTCAAAGTGTCCCATGTTCCTTCGTGTACTCCATGTTCAATGGTACAACGAGTTTTTGCCGTCAAATCTTTTCCGATGGCAACAATTTGATTGCTGGACAAATCGGCATGGCAAAGAACAGGCAATCCATGGAAATCTTTCTCTAGTATGGTCAAGTAATTATGGCTTGCTCTCAATTCAGATAGACGAGGAAGATAAGTCTGGAAATTAAAGAGGAATTGATAACTGTAAGAATAGCAATTTTTTCGGATCAGGGCCTCCCAAATATGTGAAAAAAGGTAACTATTGTGGAGAACAGTACAATGGTCAAATAAAATTTACAGGACTTTCCCTTTCTCGAGTTATACAGCAAAAACTGAAAATGGTGTTTTTGTTTTTTTACGAATAAAATTTGTTATTTCAGAAAATATAGAAAAATGGAAAAGGAAAGTTTTATTATATTTGAAATGAACTATAACGATGTAACAATAAATCTTCGATTAGACGTTTCGTGTCAATACGGCCACCATCAACTTTTCGTGTCAATACGGCCACCATCAACTTTTTTTCAATTGTGTTGATTATTAAGAAAGGTTCGGAATTAATTTTTGGTTGGGAATTTTGGGAACGAATATACTGGGTCCTTTCTTTTACGATGAGCATTCGAATTGTGAAATGTATACACATTTTTTATCCAATGAGTTTGATGGCTATTTAGATGAATTGCTACTGAACATCCACCATGAAATACAATATTTTCAACGAAATGGTGCCCCTTCCCATAATACAGCAATAGTAAGGGTACGTTAAGATGCAATATTCCCAACAAAATGGATTGGAAATAATGGATTGATTGCCTGGCCAGCTTGATCCTCGGACCTTATTCTTTTACAGTTTTTCGTCTGGGAATACATAAAGTATACAGTTTTTTCGACACCTAGTTCAGATATCGACCATCTCGGGCAAAAAGGTAAGAGATGCATGTACTGGCATTACACTTATTATGCTAGATGTAATGCTATGTTATGTTATGCTATGCACCAACTAAGATGATTCAGCGCAGAAATGTAAAATCGTTCTGTATCAAAAGACTCCGCCTACTTCAAGTCATATTTAACCAATGTACTATTGACATCAATTTGTGTGACCAATATCTATCTTCTGAGGCGGGTACAATTTGGTTTTGAATGCGCATCAAACAACAGGCAGATATATTAGAGGAATGGGCCAACCTGTGGAAGATCTTTATAAACCCTGACAAGAGTCAGACAATACTGTTCACCCGGAGGATGGTACACCCGGAAGGAAATGTCATCTTCAACGGACAAGAGATTCCGTGGACCAACGAAGCTAGATACTTGGGGGTTAACCTAGACAAAAGATTAACGTTCAGGTCTCACGTACGGCAAAGAATAGGAATGGCGAGATCTGCCCGACAAAATCTATCACCAATAATAGGTCGAAGAAGCAACATGGGACTGAAAGTGAAGCTGCTGATAATAAAGCCCGTAATACTACCGATAATCCTGTATACCTGCACTGCCTGGGGCCAGTGCGCAGCGACATACAGAAGACAGATCCAGTCGTTTATGAACGCGTGCGTAAGGGCCGCCGTAAACACTCCCAAGATATGTACCGAATAGGTACATATTCCGGGATCTAGACCTGAACATACTCTACGTGGACGCATACATGAGGAAACACGCAGAGGACACGTTCGACAAAATTCGAGCGCACGACAACCCAGCGCTAAGCGACCTACATAACGCTCTAAACAGGGATGACCCCCAGATTCCAAGAGAGGGACAAACACAGGAGGCCAACGAAACAGAACCAAAGACCACCTCCTAGAGTCGCTGTCAGGCGGCTCCGGTAAGTATAAAAATTCCTCAACCAGACTTCAAATTAATTTCTTTTTCAGATTCACTGAGAACCAACACTTTCTTGCGACTAAAACGACACTCGTCTCCGGTTAGTTTTTGGGGACCCCATGCAATAATTCAGTTAGGAAAGTCATGATAAAACAATTCAACAGACCCCAGAAAGTGAAAGCACCTAGAGGCTGACTTTCGACCAAAGAAGGTCAGATGTCAATCTTGTTGAAGTGCCCATCAGTAAGTTGAGGACAGCTCTGGAGGAGCGGGGATGGCTGGACGAAATGGGATGTTCTGCACACATTAACCGTGTGCGGAAGATTTCAACTGAGGGCGCATCAAAATCTCATCTCAGTTGGCACGTACTATTTTTCTTAAATAACAAGTTGTAGGGGGATGATTTAAAAATCTTAGACTTATGACTCTACCAGCAATGTACATTTTTGAATTGTGTGTGTACATTTTCAAAAATGATGATAATTTTGATGAAAGGTATAGTATTCATGATCACAACATAAGACACAAAAATAATTTTCAGATACCACTAACAAAATACATAACACCAGATAGTGCTGGAATAATAATATTTATTAAATTATCAAATAACCTAAAACCATGTTTTTTTCTCAGGAACATTGTTTTTATTCCATCGATTTTTTTAATTCGTGAATTTTGTGTTTTTATTAATAATGTGTTTACTGTATACCTTAATCATTTGTGACTATTCCTATACAACAATTATTGTCAAAAAAAAGATTATTATTACATAGAATTTAGCAAGTAATACTTGGATCAATATTAAAATCTTTTGTAGAATCCGAATATATGGTGTTCAATAAAAGACCTAACTCAGGTCTGTCTAGCCTGTACATACTCTGTTCGAGGGCTGTTCAAAAAATAAGGTGAATGTTCAAATTTCGCCGGCTAGATACATTCGATTAGCGATTTTTAATTTTTTTATGTTGTACACTCGTTTTGAACAAATGTTCACAGTTTCAGCTGTTTAGCGTATTCAGTTTGTTGGTAAGGGGCATGAAAGTTAGAAGTGTTTTGCGTATTCGTCGATTTTCTGCTTTAGAAAGAATGAATCGAAGAATGTACATCAAATTTTGTGCTCAAAAACACTTGAAATGTTAACAATGGCATATGGTGATTGTAAATAATCTGAGTCAGAAAAGAGTTCACAAGTGACACAAGCGACGAAAATTGTTATGGAGAATCCTTGAATCACTAGTAGAGAAGTTGCTGAGGATGTCGGCATATTGGTTGGCTAATGCCTTGCAATTTTTTCAGGAATTTTTGGCATGAAGCGTGTGGCAGCGGAGTTCCTTACATAACTGGTGACGAATCATGGATATATGCTTATGACATCGAAACCGAAGTCTAATCGTCCCAATGGAACATCCCAGGAGAGCCAAGACCAATAAAGCACGCCAAGTTTGATCGAATGTCAAGGTTTTGTTCACTGTTTTCTTCGATTATGGTGCCGTATGATCATACTGTCAATATCTTGATGTTATGTGCCTCTCGCGTGAAGCGATACGAAGAAAACGTCCGTTATTGTGGAGATAATGCACCTGTTTACTCGTCGTTGCTCGTTCGTAATTTTTTGGCCAAAAACAACACAATGCCTCAGCCACAGTATTCAACGGATATGACCACCTACGACTTTTTCCCGTCTCCAAGATTGAAAATAAAAACCCTTAATAAATAAATTTCCCATATGGTGCATACTTTGGGGATGACACTGTATGTTCCACACTTACCTTACTAGTTTCTTCCAATGTTGTTAATTGATTATGCGAAATATCTAGAAGCCGCAACTGTTCCAATCCGATAAGATCCTCGGGGGATATCCTTTTTAATCTGTTGTAGCTCAAATCAAGTCTCAAGAGCTCGGATAGTCCTGACAAAGCACCGTTCAAAGTTTCAATTTGGTTGTGATCCAATTTAATTTCATTCAGTTTAATATTCCATTCCACCAAATTCTATAAAATAAAGAAATAATCTATCTTCTTGAAAGGTTTTCTTGGCAAATGTTTGACTTACAGGAGTTGGACCTACGAGGGTAGTGATTTTGTTGTACGACAGATCTATGCTTCTGAGCAGCTTCAAGTTGGCAACTTCTTGAAAAGAAAATTCAACGATTTGGTTCTTTGTTAAGCTAAGGAAATGAAGCCTTCTCAGGTTTACTAGCGAATTATTCAGAGTATAGATTTCGTTATTGCCAAGTAGAAGGGACTCCAAGTTCATGCTCGCTGGAAAGTCGGCTTGTGTTAGCTGAAACAAATTGATATAACATCAAATTTAGGAAAGAAATAGGTGATAAATTTAAATGTTGAATTTAATTTCGGAAGATTCACGTAATGCTGATCTCAGGGACAAAAGAAACCAATAAGATCCACCAGCAAAGGATACTACATAATTCAAAGTGTTTGACAGTTCATCTAGAATTTTGGCTTGAAAAAAGCACCAACAAATTATTATTGGAATATCTAGTACGTTTGTTTTTTTCGATATTTTTTGAGTGTTTTCGTTTTTTTGTGGTTTCTTTATAACTAAGCAATATACTTTTATTAATTGAAGGCACATTATTATTTTTATATACCATGATGGAAGAAATTGAAATTCTATTTGTGCTATTTACTAAGTATTATGTGGAATAAATTATGAATGGACTGACCTGTTGCTTGATGAAAATTAATAACATTATTCTTGATAATAATAAAACAATTTTTCTGGGTAGCGGAAGCTTCGGTATTAGCGAAACGCGTCTAGAAATAAAAAAATGTTTGTAAAAATTGTTTAATTATTATCATGGATAGGTTAGGTTAGGTCCAAAGTGTGTGGGTCTATTCGAACCTGCAACACAACCCACAAGAGTTTATTGTGGCTCACACCTAATAACACTCGGCCAAATAAACTCAGCTTCTTAACGAAGCCGATTAGTTTGTATGGTGAGTGGTCTTTCAGGTCAGATGGTAAGAGTACGGCTCTGGCGAAGTCTAAAAACCTGATTCGGTCCCCAGCGGGGCAGGCATCAAGTATGTGCTCTGCTGTTTCATCATTTTCCAAACAGACGCGACACATACCGTCTTCCGACAGTCCGAGTATCTGCATATGATGATTTAAAAGACAGTGACCTGTAAGAAGGCCTGTTAGACATCATAGTTCATCCCTACTGTAGTCCAACAACTGTTTGGTATCAAGCTTCGAAGGGTGAATAAACGCCTTGGAGTGAGCCAATCCTGAAATATTCTGCCAGAAGTCCATAAACTTCTTGTCATCCAGGTGTTCAATCTTTGTTTGGCAAAGCCTCAAGCGATGCCAATGACAGGTTCTGGTCTGATGAAGCTGCTTGCAGCACCCTCCTTTGCAAGGGAGTCAGCAGCCTCAATGCCTTCTAGGCCAGTATGGCCAGAATTCCAGACCATAGACAATCTGTTAAATCTTCCTATCGAGGAGAGTCGTTTTTGGCAATTTGGTACCAATTTAGACGTTACTCGATAGTAGTCAAGAGCTTTCAACGCCGCTTGACTGTCCGAGAATATTTTTATTGATTTGTGAATGTGGTTGGATTTATCCAATCTCTCCGCACACAATTCAATAGCGTTAATTTCTGCTTGAAATACAGTCGCACAGGTTCCTAGGCAGGTTGATGTCTCTGTCCTGGGTCTGCGACTGAAAACACCTGCAACAGAACTCGAAGGTGTTTTTGATCCATCTGTGAACCAACAACTATCTGCTCTTGATATTTCCTTCTCCCGCAGGATCCAGTCCTCTCTACTCGGGAACAGTACTTTACAAGGCAGTTCGTAGTTGACAGTTGGAGGCATAAAGTCAGAGATCATTTCCAGAATGCTGTGGAATCGAATGTGCCAAGTCACTTGAACACTTCCCGTGAAAGTATCTAGAGAAAAAATACAAATCCCAACCTTTCAGCTGTTCAGTTTGTTGGTGAAAAGCATGAAAGTTAGAAGTCATTTGCGGGTTCGACGATTTTCTGCCATCGAAAAAAATGAATCAAAGAATTTGCTTCAAATTTTGTCTGTCCTCAAGAACACTTGAAATCTTGACCGTGGCATACGGTGTTTGTACTCCGAGTCAGAAAACTCTTTACAAGTGGTACAAGCTTTTCACAGAAGGTCGGGAAGATGTAAATGACGACGCCCGCCCTGGACGCCCCAGCACATCAATAAACAATGAAAATGTTGAAAAAGTGAAGAATATTGTTAAGGAGAATCGACAAATCACTGTTGAAGAAGTTGCTGAGAATACCGCCAAATCGGTTGGCTCATGCTATGTAGTTTTTTCGGAAATTTTGGGCATGAAGCGTTCGTTCGAAAATTGCTGAATTTTGACCAAAAATTCGTCGCATGAGCATCGCTCCAGGATTGTTGAATGACGTCAACAGCTATCCAGTTTTTCATGAAAGGGTCATAACTGTTCGACGAATCATGGGTATATGGTTATGACATCGAAACCAAAGTCCAATCGCCCTAATGGAACAGCCCAGGAGAGCTAAGACCAAAAAGATTTTGCTCACTGTCTTCTTCGATTACCGTGGCGTTTTGCATCAGGAGTACGGTCAAGTAGGAGTAATATTTTGAACTTATGGGCTGCTTGCGAGAAGCAATACGATGAAAATTTCCGGTATTAAGGAAAAACAATTCACGACTGTGTGTCACGATAATGCACTTGCTCACTCGTCATTGCTTCTGCTCACTCGTCACTGTTCACCGTAATCATGCCTCAACCACCGTATTCACCAGATTTGGCCCCATGCGACGACTTTTTCCTGTTCCCAAGACTGAAGAGATCCATTAAAAAACGGCGTTTTTCGACGATTGAGGAGATAAAAACGGAATCGCTGAGGGAGTTCAAGGACATACCAAAAAGTGCATATCAGAACTGCTTCGATTTTATAGTTAAGATACATTCTCGTAGCTTGATATTTTCGTTTCAATTAGTTATTGGGATGAATGTATGTATGCTGGTTAGTTGTTAGGATTAATGCATTTATTTTGATATTTGTGTTTCAATCTAGTAGTTAGAATGTTAGATTGTCTGTGTTTTGGTTATTTTTTGTTCAGTGATTTGTTTTTCGGTGAATTCTTTTCAAAGAAATTCCCTAAATTGAGAAACTGTTAATGAATACTAGATCGGATACTTCTTCCGAGGAAGAATGTTTGAACACAAAATGAGCTATCAGTTTTTTCTTAAGCAGCCAGTAACGTCGGTAAAAAAGTTGCCAAGGGCCAAGACACGAAAAAAACTAACACCCTGTGAATACTTTTCTATTGCCGTTACATGGTCAGTGATAACGAAAGGGTGTAAGCCCAGTTCGAAGTTGTTAGCTTCGGAAATATACGAGACATATAATGAAATTGAAGAAAGTATTATACAGGGTGTTTCGTAATTACTGTAAAAATGTAAGGACTTTTTCAGAAGTTAATTTTATGTGAAAAAGTTCATACAAATGTAGGCCCGAAAATACATTGTTTCCAAGATACAGTGTGCTATTTTTCCCAAAAAAATATTTTTTTTGTATCGATATTGTAGATATCCATCAACCGATTTTGATGAATTTTGGCAATGTTATTTTCATTGATAAGAGGTTCATTTAGCTTTAATTAGATACAAATTATTGAATCTAGTGGCGGCTTTGGGCACAGAATAGCCAACATTATTGACAAAAAAAAAGTACGCCTGTGATAATTCTTGTAACATTTAATTTTTCGTTGGGTTAAAAATACATCGGTGAAACTAAGAGGCCATTGAAAGTTCGCATTGCTGAGCACAAGAAACACACACATCGAGATTTGGCAAATCGAACTGAATAAATGACAACAAATTTGACAGATGTAGATTCAACA